GGTTTTTCGAACATCAGGCTTCTCAGGACATCTGGGGAAGTGATCTTTGCATTGCCTCTCCCTTTGATGTATGTGCTCATGCTATAGCAGCTACTGAGCTGGTTTTTTTTTTTTTGAGACGGAGTCTCGCTCTGTTGCCCAGGTTGGAGTGAGTGGTGTGATCTTGGCTTACTGCAACCTCCACCTCCCAGGTTCAAGCAATTCTTCTGCTTGAGTCTCCCGAGTAGCTGGGACTGCAGGCGCACACCACTATGCCTGGATAATTTTTGTATTTTTAGTAGACAGAGGGTTTCACCATCTTGGTCAGGCTGGTCTCGAACTCCTGAGTTCGAGAACAGGAGTGTTGGGATAACAGGCCTGAGCCACTGTGCCCAGCCTGCTGAGCTATTTTTAAGGGCTTCCACTTTCCAACCCACCTCATCCTGGTGCCTTAGTTACACTCTCACTGACTTAGCCTGCCACTAAGGCAGGGATTTTTTTTCTTCTTTTTTCTTCTAGGTTTTGAAATGAGCCAAGATACTGGTATCAATACAGTGCACCAAACATATGGAGACAGGTAGCTCCTCTTAATCTGTTTAACATATTTTTGTTTTAGGACAAGGATGTTGCTCGACTCCAAGATTTCCAGGAGCTGGAACTGGTTCTGATGATAAGTGAAAACAATTTTCTGTTCAGAAATGCTGCATCCACACTGACTGAAAGGCCTTGCTATAACAGGAGAGCTTCAAAACTGACTTACTAATGCAGCAGGGACTTTTATCACTGAGTATTATGACAGTGTGCTTCACCTCTGGGCCAAGGACAAGCCATTGATCTAAATGCCTCGGATGCCCAGGAGGGCCTCTGGTGCCACTGCATAGTATATACTAACATCGTTCTGCCAAGGTAGGAAGCCCCTGACCCCCAAGCAGTGGTGCCACTCTTCCAAGCCTCTTGGTGCACAATAAACCTATTGCTTGAAGCTTTGAACAGCTGAGAAGTGGTCTGGAGAGGCAGAAGCTGAAGGTTCTATATCCAGTGTGTTTTCTGTACAGAACCTAAGAGAGTTGTCTAAGCAGAAGCTGAGAGAGCGGAGCCTATTTCTAGCCACTCCTGTTGACAGTGCACCTGAAGGGCCAGGATGCGCTTTTCTTGGTGTTGCATGCTCACAACTCTCCTGACATTGTGAACTGATGAGAGAAAACCGGGGAAAGCACAGGTACTGGACAGATGAATTATAGTGTGACTTGTGACTGTGAGGTTTCCTAGGACATATTTATAAATGTTACTCAGGTTAAAAGTATTTAAGAATACAGTTACCTAATTGTAAATGTGCTGTTAACCAAAAGAGCTTTCCCTCCCCCACTTTTTCCTTTGTAAACACTCATGACTGCTTCTCTGTCTCTCCAGTCATCTCTGCATTAACTCCCCTTTGTGGTCACTAGAGGGCTCTCTAATGCCTTCTAAAAGAGAAACTGCTTTTTTTCTGCCCCCCTGAAGAGACAGGGTCTCACTATGTGGCCCAGGCTGGTCTCAAACTCCTGGCCGCAAGTGATCCTCTCGCCCTCCCAAAATGCTGGGAATACAGATGTGAGCACTGCACCCAGCCCAGTTTTTTTACTCTGAAGCGATTCCAGTCATCTGTGTGTAACTGCATCTTATGAGAAGAGCACAAATATTGCTGTTCCATGGTCTCCACTTTCATTTTCCACCACAAATGAAAAGCAATTTTTGAGACTGAATCTGTTGCTCTTTTAAAGGTTATTGTGGGAAACTGAACTAAAGGAGTTAGCATCTTTATTTTTATATCAAAGATAAAGGTTATTTTGAAATTATTAGGATTTTTACACAATTCTGAAATCTGTTGCTTTTATAAACAAATTGTTTGAACTTAGTGATCCCCCCACTACCACCACCAATTCACTTGACAAAGCCAGTATGAGTGTACCAGACTTTGTTCTGAAAAACAGAAACAAAACACCGGATTAAACTCTTGAATATGGCATAGGAATTTTTTAAAAGAATGCATTCGAGGATTCTTTTCCTTTCCTTCAGTGTCGTTAATGTTAAAAGGAAAGCCACTGTTTTGTTGAAACAAACAGCTTAACTTCAGAAATAAGAACTAGCACGCTTAGACAAACAGGAGAGCAGGGGTTCGAAGCCAGCTGTTGAAGAGCATCCCTGCTGTCTTAAGAAGCTTTTTCCCCATAGTGCCTATAGTTTCTAAAGAAACTCAACTTCCTAACTGTGTTAACTTAATTTTATTAGAACACTACAGTTGAGTGAGAACGTTGCAGAAGATGTCAACGGAAGAAAATGTTGTGCTAAGATAATGGCCTCCTGCTGCTGCCTAAATGCTGAAAGGAGGTTGAGATGTTTATCGAGGCTAACTTCATGAAATCACTTTGTTTAGTGACTTAATTGTATCCCACCAATTACTGCTGGTGACTTACTCACTCTTGTACAGTGTTTGCATAGCACAGTGAAGGTTACTTATTACCCTCTCTCAAGTGCTTTAAAGAAGAAACCTCCCTTGTGTTTTTTTTTTTTTTCTTTTTGAGATGGAGTTTCACTCTTGTTACCCAGGCTGGAGTGCAATGGCGCGATCTCGGCTCACTGCAACCTCCGCCTCCTGGGTTCAGGCAATTCTCCTGCCTCAGCCTCCCGAGTAGCTGGGATTACAGGCACGCGCCACCATGCCCAGCTAATTTTTTGTATCTTTAGTAGAGACGGGGTTTCACCTTTTCGACCAGGATGGTCTCGATCTCTTGACCTCGTGATCCACGAGGTTTCACCATGTTGGCCAGGCTGGACTTGAACTCCTGGCCTCAAGCAATCCACCTGCCTCGGCCTCCCAAAGTGCTGGGATTATGGGCGTGAGCCACCGGGCCCAGCCCCTCTCTTGTGTTTCAACCAATTGAAAGCAATTTTAACTAGATGTAGTAACCTTTTTTTTTTTTGCTTCTAAAACAGTTACTGTTTACTGATAAAGTTAGGTCTGGTTCTATCCTAGAGGAAATAAATTCAGTATTAATTCATGTCTAAATTACTTGGGTTAAAAGTCTTTCAGCTGTCCAGATTAATTAAAGTGGAGCAGTGGAGGCCCCTGGCTGGGAGATGGCCTACAGAGGAGCAGCTGCGGGGAATGTTCTGGGCTTAGAGACAGAGGCAACTTGGTGTCTCTGGTGAGACGTGGGTCTGATGTGGCTCTGCCCTATGCTGGTCTCTCCTTTATAAAATCCTCTATGGTCAGCTGACTCCTGCATATCACAGTGGAATAAGACTGCACAGTTGCTGGTAGGTGAGTTTAAAGTCTTAATCTATGCATTCAGAGAAATATTTTTATATGCTTTGTGTAATTTATAACAAGGATTTTTTTTTAGCTTTGTTAACTGTGAATTCACCTCTCCTTCTTCACTGCATATTTAAAGCATGTGTTCACACTGTGTGTAAACATTCATGGAAGATTTTCTCTTTGTGCATTGCTGACTGTTCAAACATAAAAAGTATTATTAAAATTAAATATTAACTGACCAACCCTGTACGCCTTCATTTTGGCTTCCTAAACAGCACTATAGTTCTAATCATAGGGGGTTCAAATTGTTGGACAGTCCCATAGACCATACGCTCTAGAGGAAGATGAGAAGGGCCCTCTCTCCACCTGAGCCTCCTCCACCCCCACTCATACCCTGTCAGTAGCACCTGGAGATGGATATTTTGTGTGGCGTCTTTCCTTCCAGTTCACAGCAGTCGGCTTCATTTCCCAGGAGTAGCTGAGCCAGTTAGATGGAGGTCATCCCCTATTAACCACGTGTTTTGATTATCCTATTTACTTTACCCAACTGAGCCTCTCCTTTGGGTTGTCAGCACCTGTCAGGGCCTCAGCAAGCTCAGAAGCAAACTCCCAAGACAGGAAAGGAAACACAGCCTTATACTTCCAGAGCTTTAGCTGAGAATGATGCTGAATGAGTTTGCTTTTCTGTTGGTTCAGGCCAGCTAGCACCTCACAAAGCAGACGTCAAGCCAAATTGGCCTAATAAATCAGAGAGCATAACAGAGACCTTTTCTTAGCACCAAGGAGAGGCAGAATAATTTGGGCATTTGTGCTTTCATACTTGCTTTATCACAGGGATGGAAGTCATCTTCCATACACTCATAAACATCCTAGGCAGAAACAGCCTGCCAAAAAAATGCGATTAACCTTTAACAAATGGTCCTGCAGCACAGGCTGACCCAGAGCATATAGAAAAGCCCAATCAAAGAAGCCACCTCCATCCATATCTAATGCAAACCATTTAGGGTTGGGGAAAAAACCAGCATCACCCACAACCACTCACATCATACCAAGACAAAGATACAGGAAATGAGAGCGAGACAGAGGAGACCAGAACACTTAGGAACAAGGAGAAGAGATCCATTCCAAATAGAAGGCCTGTGCCAGGTGGACTCTGACCTGCAAAAAATAAACTCTTTGTTGGCTTGCTCAAGAAAACAAACTTAATTCACCCCTCACATCTTGTCTGCCAGTCTGGGACTGTGGGTGGCTTCTCTCTGAGCAAGAGGTGGCCTCTCGGCTTCTTTGTGCTCACACATTCAGCTTTGGCTAGACTGAGGGAAATGAATGACTTGGAGGCCTCGCTGGTTATGGGAACTGTCTGGAACAGACTTTGAAATGAGCAAGGAAATAAAGCATCATACCCTTCTTAGTCCCTAGAGAAACAGGCGTTGACGGATGACATGAACATGGAGGTGTTCACAGCAGCTTTCCCAAGAGGCCTCGGGTCAGATTTCAGGGCCTTTCTTTCTCACCTTTTTACAATATCTGCACAGCAGAACAGGAACTGCTGGCAATTACCCAGGGAATTTTGGCTGTGAAGGCAATATTTGCAGCCAAGAGCTCTTGGGTCTGAAATTCAGGTAACTACAACCATGTACATGTGTATAAAGTCTTCCTCCTGGCCTCCTCCAAAGATCCTAATCCCCAAATCTTGTGAACAAGCACAAAAAGACTAGTGTGTACATACTGTTGACCATGCAGTTTTATTTCATCAGTGCTCTGTTTTTAGTGGCTTGAGGCAGGACCCCAGAGTATAGGACTTAGTTCTGAGGGGTGGCCTGACCCGGCAACAGTCTTCTGTTCCAGTAGGAAAAAGCTTTTTATTAAAAACAAGAAAAAACTTTAGAAAATATGAAAAATCAGAGGGAGGACAGAGGTCATTTCATAAAATCATTATTTGAAAACAGTGCAGTGTGCAAATAACACTAGGTTGGGAATTGGGAGACTGGGGACTGATCTAACTGCCTCAAACTAGCTGTGACCTTAGGCATGTCATTCACCTCTTGGGGCTCACTTCCTCACCTAAAGCATTGAGCATAGTTACCCTGTGAGGGACTTTACAGATGCAAAATCTAAGATGCCCCCAGTGTTTGCCATCAAGTCCGTTCTGCGGACATACTTGGTGTCATTTCCTTCCTGATGAAAACCAGGAAAGGACAAGGGGAAATCCCAGGAATCTGTTTTAGGCAAGTCCAGCGTCTCTGGCCATCCCGTAGAAGATGCCTCTAGCTGCAATGAGGTTGGCCGGAGCATCAAATTCAGCTACAACTCCTTTGTCCAGGACCAGGACCCTGGTCAGAAAAGAGAGAAGTGGTCAGGTTTCCATCAGCCCAGACCTGGTCACAGCGTCCAATCCTGCTCTTCTGGGTACTTGCTCAGGTCCACAGTAACATGCCAACCCACCCAATACCTGCCATACTACATGTGCACGCTTGCAAGGCTGGTTATTTTAGCCATTCTGTTAGTTCTGGCAAGTGAAGCGGTTTCTGGGATCAAACACAAGGTCCTATTCATCTCTGCTAGTCGGGGCTCTGAAAACCTTCCCTAATGAGTCCTTCCTCTTGCCGGGGTCACAGGACTTCAGCAGGCTGTGCGCAGGGAGCCACGGGCCTGTGCGCTGGGCTCTGTGCACATCCATCTGCTTTGTGCCAGCTCACAAAAGCACACGGCAGGAAACCAGCTGCAGCAAGGCTGACACTGGAATCTGGGGCTTGGGCTGCAAATCCGGTGGCGGCTGCTGCTGCTGCTGCTGCTGCTGCTGCTGCTGGGTGGGTCTCCAGCTCACACACAAACAGCCAGGCCTGGGCCCAGGGTTAGAATCTCCCACCAACCACTCACTGGGTGTACCTGGTACAAGGCCAGTGGGCTGGCTCCACCAGGGTGCAGTGGGAGGAGAAAGGCTCTCCTCATCCTGGAGAAGTGCTCCTCCGTGGGAAGGGGCTGACTTTATTCTATTCTCAGCCTCCTGGGCTCCAAGATATGTCCTGGGAAGGAGTGTGTCTGTGACATCACTGCCTGGCCACTGCCCCCACCCCAGCCCTGACTCCAAAATCAGGGTCTTCAGTGGCTTTTGATTGCTCTTGGGTAAGTAAGGCCTGAATGTTCTCCCATGTTCCTCAAAGTGCAGCATAATGGGGCTTGTTCTCCACCCCCATCTTGGTTCCACTGCCTCCCTCCCATGCACTCCAGCCTCCTGCACCCTCCTGCCTTGGGGCACGTGTTGCATCCTTTGCCTGCAATTTTCAGCTCCCTCCCTATTTCCCCACCTCCACCCCCCAACTCTTACTCATTCTTTCAGGCCTGGCTGGTGCAGCCCTTCCTTAGAGAAGGTGCCCTGGCCACCCTGTGTGGATAGCCGTCCTTTGGCCTGCACACACAGGCCTCTGCTTCCATCCTGTGGACCCTATTTATACGTGATTATTGGATTAATTTCTGCCTGTCGCTCTAGAATGAATGAACTCCCAACCTCCAAGGTCGATCCAAGTCTCCCACCTAGGGCTGCTGGTGAATGAACCATTTTTGATTAGTCCTGGAAACAGGTCCTCTCAGCCCAGCCCTGTTCCTCCTCCAAACCCAGGGCTCAGCACTTCCTGCCCACCCTCCCTTCTCCTTCCAGTGGGGTCCTAAATGGGAGTCGGGGGTGAGGGTAGGGTAGGGATGGAACAGACAGAGGGTAGCATCAGGCATTCTCAGGTTGGCTCCCAAGACACGGCTGGCTGCATGGGGGCACTTCCAAGAGACACCAGGCCTGACTCATTGCCCTGTCCATGGTACCCTCCCCACCCCACCGTCGTACAAGTGTTTCTTGGGTGAATGAAGGCCTGTTGGGGTATTCCCATCATATTCCTTCAAAGGAGACTTGTCCAAGCCTCCTGCCTCCTCCTCCCCTCTAGTTTCTAGGGAGCCCAGCCTGCTAGGTGAGGGCCAACTGACTTCCATGAGGCTTCTGAGTCACCCAGCCCTTTCTCCTTGACCTCCAGCACCACACCTTGACATCTGGGACAATGAGGGAGAGGTCTGCCTCAACAAGGAAGCCATAAGCTTCTGAGGGCATGGCCCCTCCCCTCAGCCTTAGAGGGCCTAGTGCAAGAGTTAGAGCAAGGGGATACTGTCATTTCTCAGGATCACCTGCAGTTTAAATACATTTCATTGACTTTTTTTTTTTTTGAGACAGAGTCTCACTCTGCGCCTAGGCTGGAGTGCAGTGGCATGACCTTGGCTCACTGCAACCTCTGCCTCCCAGGTTCAAGTGATTCTCCTGCCTCAGCCTCTCGAGTAGCTGGGACTATAGGTGCCTGCCACCACACCAGGCTAATTTTTGTTTTTTGTTTTGAGACAGAGTTTCACTCTTGTTACCCAGGCTGGAGTGCAATGGCACGATCTCGGCTCACTGCTACCTCCGCCTCCTGGGTTCAGGCAATTCTCCTGCCTCAGCCTCCTGAGTAGCTGGGATTACAGGCACGCCCCACCATGCCCAGTTAATTTTTTGTATTTTTAGTAGAGACGGGGTTTCACCATGTTGACCAGGATGGTCTCGATCTCTTGACCTCGTGATCCACCCGCCTTAGCCTCCCAATAATTTTTGTATTTTTAGTAAAGAAGAGGTTTCACCACATTGGCCAGACTGGTCTTGAACTTCTGACCTGAAATGATCTGTGCGCCTTGGCCTTCCAAAGTGCTGGGATTACATGTGTGAGCCACCACCAAACTCCTGACCCCAAGTTAACCACCCTCCTGGGCCTCCCAAAGTTCTGAGATCACAGTCATGAGCCACCATCCCTGGCCTTCATTGACTCTTTACAACAATCTCAAGAGGAATCATTTTCATTTGAAACAGGCTCAGAAAGATTTTGCAAATTGCTCAGGGTCACACAGCAGCCTGGGACTTTGAGCCCTCTTACTGAGTCTACAGGTTGGAAATACCCATACCTGTGTTAAGGGGCGAGTGCTCTCCCCACAAGGCTCAGTTCCTCATGGTGCTGTCAGGGTCCCACTACCACCTGAGCTGCTGCTTCATCTGTGACCGGGGTGACTATGAGATACCAGTGAGGTGAGAGACATGCAGGCACTCTGCCAGCGGGCGCTCAGGAAGAGACGGGACTCAGCATGGAGCCTCCAGTTCCCCTTACATCACCTCATGGAGGAGGCAGGATGCGGGTGACCTGTGCACAAATACAGCGCCTGTGGAACCCAGTGTGCCCTTCCCCATGTCTTAGAAAATGTCACTGTGGGGGCCGGATGTGGTGGCTCATGCCTGTAATCCCAGAACTTTGGGGGCTGAGGCAGATCACTTAAAGTTAGGAGTTTAAGACCAGCCTGGCCAACATGGAGAAACCCGTCTCTACTAAAAATACAAAAATTAGCTGGTGTGGTGGTGTATGCCTGTAATCCCAGCTACTCGAGAGGCTGAGGCAGAAGACTCACTTGAGCCTGGAAGGTAGAGGTTGCAGTGAGCCACTGTATTCCAGCCTAGGCAACAGAGCAAAACTCTGTCTAAAAAAAAGAAACTGTCATTTTCCCACCTCTGACCCCAGGCCACCCCGCTGTGGTCTGCCCCTATCCAGATCTTGGGAATCTCTGCTCCGCCCGCCATGTCCTAGCAATCCCAGGAACATTCCATTGTCCAGATAACCCTATGCCCCCCCATTCCTGATGCCGGAGGTGGCCCCACCAGGTTCCCCATTGCTTGGATTTCTATGTCCCACCTGGTGTAGTCCATGATAGTGTTAAGCCGGTGTGCGATGGTCAGGACAGTGCAGGTATCAAATTGGGTGCGGATGGTAGCCTGGATGAGGTCGTCAGTCTCTAGGTCGATGGCAGCTGTGGCCTCATCCAAAACCAGGATGCGGCTTTTGCGGAGCAGGGCTCGGGCCAGGCACACGAGCTGCCTCTGGCCCACACTGGGAATGGAGAAGGCAGGCATTTCCAGCTGGGGGTTCCCACCTGCCTCCAGGCCTCATTCCCTCCTCAACGGCCCAGGCCAGCTTTCTAACTTCTCCCGTTTCTGCCACAGCCCAGCCCTCCTGGAACAGAGTAGTGGTCTGGACACCACTGGGATAATGAGGGCCCTGGGGAACGAACCAGTGCTAAAAGGCATTGTGAAATCTTTAGTCTGTGCTTGACACCCTTGGCCTCCTCTCTCGGTGCTTTCTTCCCCATCTTTGCTTTTCAGCTAGTGCCATGATGTTTCTCTGCTTCACTCTATCAGTCATTTACACCTTAGTAAGAACATGCTTGCATGGCTCTTCCCGGATATTTGCATAGAGGTCAGATGATGCCATCTTGCTGAGCCTAATATCATACAATTCAAGCAGTCATCTCCCATCCCATATGGAATACAGGCCAGGGCTCCGTTTCAGGTACAAGAAAAGGGCAGAGGCTGGGCACGGTGGCTCAAGCCTGTAATCTCAGCACTTTGGAAGGCCGAGGCGGGTGGATCACGAGGTCAAGAGATTGAGACCATCCTGGTCAACATGGTGAAACCCCGTCTCTATTAAATATACAAAAATTAGCTGGGCATGGTGGCGTGCACCTGTAGTCCCAGGTACTCTCCAGGCTGAGGCAGGAGAGAGAATTGCTTGAACCCAGGAGGCAGAGGTAGCGGTGAGCTGAGATCGTGCCATTGCACTCCAGCCTGGGTAACAAGAGCGAAACTCCATCTCAAAAAAAAAAAAAGAAAAGGGCAGAGCAGAGAAAGACCCGGGGGCTCCTTGTGTCTGGTCACAGAGGAGGTGAAGGAGGGGCAGGACACATGCCTTCAGCCTCCTGCCTCGGAAGCCAGAGCCGGCAGACAAAATGAGGCTGTGTTCCCAACCACAGAGGCCACAGCACCCCCACATCCAAGGACAAATACCTCAGCCCTTCCCAAAGGGGTGAGTCACCACAGCCGGTGTAAAGTCCAGGCGCTCTCCCTGGCCCATTCCCGCAACTAATGAAGGTTTTGGCAGCAGAATGAGCCGCCGGATAGAACTCAGGGCTGATTTATGGTGGAACTGGCACAGGACACAGGTTAGACTTAAAGCAGCTCCAAGCTCAGTGAAGAAGGAGGGGAGTGGATTTCTGTCTCTGATCCTGGTGTGCGTGGGGATGGGGCACACTCTGAGGTAAGTGCTGAGCACAAGCAGGTTAGAAGACTGGATTGAGAGATGGTCAAGGGGCACAGGGTCTGGAGAGGCCATGCCTGTCCATCAGCCACCCCCACGTGGTTATGTAAGTGAGAGCCAGTTAAGATGCACATTTAGTCTTAAGCGCTGCCTAGGTGAGGCAGGGAGTCCCACCAGTTGTCCAGGTGAGGGAGGTGGCTGTGATCCAGCAAGGAAAGGTCTGGGACAGAGCCCAAGTCCCCGCTCTGCCCCTTACCAGTTGAGCTGCTACAGGGAATCATTTCAAACCGTGCAGCCTCGTTTCTAGCCCATAGGACCACGGTAAAGATTAGAGGAGAAAGTGGAGGCCAGAGTGCTTTGAATATTGTTAAGTGCTGGGCAAATGTCAATTTTTTTTTTTAAGACAGAGTCTCATGCTGTTGCTCAGGCTAGAGTGCAGTGGCGAGATCTTGGCTCACTGCAATCTCCTCCTCCCAGGTTCAATAATTCTCCTGCCTCACCTTCTGGAATAGCTGGGATTACAGGCGCCCACCACCACACCTAGCTAATTTTTGTGTGTTTAGTAGAGACAGGGTTTCACCACGTTGGCCAGGCTGGTCTTGAACTCCTGCCCTCAAGTGATCCACCTGCCTTTGCCTCCCAAAGTGCTGAGATTACAGGCATGACCACTGTGTCCAACCTTGTTTTAGTTTTTGAGGTCTGGGAGGGTACACGAGTATGGACTGAATATAAAACTGAAAATAGGGAAGAGGAGGAAGAAGAGGCAGAGGAGGAGGGGGAGAAGAGGGAGGGAAGGGAGGAGGGGAATCGCTGACATGTCACAGGAGCGGATCCAAGCAAAGTGCTTTTCCTGACATCACAGCGACCCTAACACTGCTCTGTCCAGACGGTAGCCCTTGGCCCCATGTGGCTATTAGCACTTTAAATGTGACTAGTCCAAACTGAGACATTCTGTAAATATGAAATACACACTGGATTGCAAACTTGTATGAAAAAATGCAAACTATTTCCAATACTTTTATATCAATGACATGTTAAAATAATATTTTAGATATATTGGGCTAAATAAAATATAGTATTACAGTTTATTTCACTTGTTTCTTTGTCCTTTTTAAAAAGTATGGCTATGGCTGGGCGCGATGGCTCACACCTATAATCCCAGCACTTTGGGAGACTGAGGCGGGTGGATCATGAGGTCAAGAGATCGAGACCATCCTGGTAAACATGGTGAAACCCCATCTCTACTAAAAATACAAAAAAATTAGCTGGGCATGGTGGCACGCGCCTGTAGTCCCAGCTACTTGGGAGGCTGAGGCAGGAGAATTGCTCGAACCCAGGAGGCGGAGGTTGTGGTGAGCCGAGATCATGCCATTGCACTCCAGCCTAGGTAACGAGGGAAACTCCATCTCAAAAAAATAATATGGCTATGAGAAAAAATGTTAGTTACATATGCATGGCTTGCATTGTTTTTTATTGGGCAGCACAATGCAAAGAGGTATGGACTGCTATTATCCGCCTTTTAGAGTAAAAGAAAAGGAGGCACAGAGAAGTTAAGCAACTTCCCCCAAATCACACAGCTAACACAGGTATGGGTATCTCCAACCTGTAGACTCAGTAAGAGGTGACTACTGGCCACTCCAATGCATAGCCCAGTGGCTGGGGACATAAAATCTGGGGCTGCAAGAAAGCTCTGGAGGGGAGAGGGCTTCCTCTCACTTGCTTCATGGGTTCCATCCAGAACCATGCTCCCTGGCCCAAGAACAGCCTCTACAACCTCACTGAAAAGGGTTGTGGAATCTCCCAGACCTGGTTCAAATTCCAGACATGCCTCCTCCCAGCTGTGCAACTTAGGTCAAGCACTTTCCCGTCTCTGAGCCTCAGTTTCCTGATGGGTGAAGTGGGATCACGGAGCACCGCTGGGGCTTGCATGAAGAGCCGGCGAGGCAGCACACCGTGCCTGGCACACTATGATCAATACAAAAGGACGGCCCTGTGCACACTCTGGCTGGCCTCGGCTCTGTGTCATTTGGTGTTGGGCTTCCCAGCACCTGCCAGGGTTCCCCAGGGAGGGCTGCAGCTCCTGAGCTCTCCATTCCCAGCGTTTACCTGAGATTCTCCCCGCCCTCAGAGCACTGGAAGTCCAGGCCTGCCAGCTGGGAGCTCACAAACTCGTGCAGGTGGGACAGCTCCAAGGCCCGCCAAATGTCCTCCTCTGAGTAGCTGCCAAAGGGGTCCAGGTTCATGCGCAGGGTCCCGGAGAACAGGATGGGGTCCTGGGGATACAGTGTGGCCTCAGAGGAAAGCAGTTCAGGCCCTGGAAGGAGCCATGGGCCCCAGGTCCAGGGAAGAAGAGAGGGATTAAGGTGGCAGCATTCCCACTCTGTCCCCAGCCCCTCAGAGGAGACAATGGCAGAAGAGATAGCAAATTGCCTGTGGGGGAGTGATAAACCTCAGCTTTGCCATTCATGAAGCCCTCTGCTGAAGCAGGAACCAGAGCCACTAATCTGACTCCAGAGTGTCTACTCGGCAGAAAAAAAATACCCCGGAGGAGATGAAAAAAAGTGAAATAATTAGAGCTGTGCAAAGAGACCAGGACAGAACATCTCAGGGGACGGGGACTTTGGAGGAGTCCTTTCCCATGCGCTGGCCCAGGAGGTCAAAGGAAAGGGCCTGCCTGATTGGGCAGGGTGCATCTGAACTTTCCAGATTCATGGCTGGGGTGGCTCACTGGTGGCTCTGTTCCCTGTTGTCTGCTCCTCCTCACCCTCCAAAGCCTCTGAGACTGAGGTCCCCGCCTCTATCCTCAAGCTACAGAACAGGGTAGGGCCTGCCTCCAGGGCCACTGATGAGTGTGGCCGGTCCCTGACAGGCTCCTACCTGGGGAATGATGGTCAGCTGAGAGCGCAGGTCATGGAGGCCGATATCCGCCACGTTGAGGCCATCGATGAGGATTTTACCCTTTGCTGCCTCCAGGATGCGGAACAGGCAGAGGGTCATGGAGGACTTGCCAGCCCCGGTGCGGCCCACGATCCCCACCTGGACAGGGAAGGGAAAAGGCTCTCAGGGGAAGCTAAGATGTCACAGGGGCATCTCCAGGACCCCCCTGGAGGCCGAGCAGACATTTCGCTGGGGCATTTACTCTCCCAAAAGGCCCACCCGCCCCGCACGGACTGTGGCCGCGTCCTCCAGGCACTGACGCACGCATAGGCGCTAACACACACACAGGCACTGACGCACACGCAGGCGCCAAAGCACTCATGGGCGCGAACGCACACACGGGCGAGAACGCACACGCAGGCACGAACGCACTCAGAGGCGCAAAAGCACGCTCAGGCACGAACGCACAGCAGGCACAAACACACGCAGGCCTGCCCACCCCACGCGTACCTTCTCGCCAGCATGCACATGCAGACTCAGGTCTCTCAGCACCAGGTCTAGGCCCGGCCGGTAGCGCACAGAGTAATTCCGGAATTCCACCTCCCCACGTCGGGGCCAGCCTTTGGGAGGGCGGCTGCCCTCCACCACCCAGGGCGCCTGGCAGGAGGGGCAGATGGGGTCACATCAGCTCTTGCCCAGTGTGACCCTCGCCCACCTTTCAGCCTCTCTCCCCCAAGGCCCCTCAATCCTGTCCCACGATGATCCCTGAGAGGGTCCTTGGCACCCCCATGGCGTGGCCTTGTGTTCAATGACTCCTTTTCCCTTCTGACTTTATTTCCCACAGAGCTACTCCAACACCCCCATCTTCCCCTCCCAGCCTCTCTGCCTGCCCATGTTCCTTTTTTTTTTTTTTTAACATTTTTAATTTTTTAGAGATAGGGTCTCAATCACGGCTCACTGTGGCCTTGAACTCCTGGGTTCCCGTGATTCTCCTGCCTCAGCCTCCCTAGTAGCTAGGACTACAGGCACATGCCACCATGCCTGGCTAACTTGTTTTGTTCTGTTACAAGTTCTTGCTCTGTCACTCAGGCTGGAGTGCAGTGATGTGATCATAGCTCACTGCAACCTTGAATTCCTGGACTCAAGCCACCCTTCTGCCTCAGCCTCCTGAGTAGCTAGGACTACAGGCCTGCGTCACCACGCCTCACTAATTTTTTTAAAGAAAAATTCTGAAAAGACTGCTTGCTATGTTGACCAGGCTGGTTTCTAACTCCTAGCCTCCAGGGACCCTCCTGCCTAAGCCTCACAAAGTTCTGGGAATACAGGCATGAGCCACTGCCCCACACTTTATGTTCCTTGAGGCACCTCCCTGCCTGCCCTAACTCCCCCCTCATGATCTTTAACCATTCATTGTTACTTGGTGGCAGCATAGTGCCAGGCAGTGGGAACACAATGGTATCCCTATTGAAACAGTCCTCACCCTCATGAGACTTACGTTCTAGTAGAGGGAGGCATGTAATCAGCAGATAAGCAAATCTGTGCAATGTAAGAAGTGATGAGTGCTACAGGCCAAGAAGTACTTAGTGTTGCTGCTTTATACAGGGTGGTCAGGGAAGGCTTCCTGGAGGAGGCAAAGACTTTAGTAAAGAGCTAAAGGGGGTGAAGGAACAAGCCAAGTGGGCTGGAGGAAGGGCATGCCAGGCAGAGGTAAATGCCCCTAGGTGTGTCCTGGAGCACAGTGGTAAAGGCGAGAGTAAGAGGCTGAGGTAATGGTGGCCCCATCATGTAGGGCCTTTTAGGCCATTTTAAGGACTATGTGGTTTTTTTGTGTGTTTTGTTTTTTTACTCTGATTAAGATGCAAAGCCATTAGAGGGCTGTGCATAACGGAATTACGTGATTTTTTTTTTTTTTTAATCTCTGGCTGCTACAAGCAGAATAGACTAACAGGACATAAGATGCTGGTGGCTTTGGGACAGGACTGGCCACATAATTTGGGAGGCTCAGGGCAAAATGAAAGCCTGAGGCTTCTTGTTGAAGAATGATGGAGAATGTCAAGGTGCTGACAACAGAGCCTTACTCTAAGTGCACAGCCCTTCAGGGAATGGAGACCCTATGACTGCTCAGGCTACGTTCCCTTGGAGCCAGCCCTGCTTCGAGGCAGGAGAAACCAAGTGGCCAGTGGTGAAAAAGCAGAGCAGCCAGCTCATCCCGGTCTTTCGAGGAGGCATCGGCGAAGAGAATGGGGTGTGGGGTTGAGGGAAGACATTTACAGGATGCAGAGACAGGAGCCTGGGTATCCACGCAGGAACTGGGCTGCTAGACATGAAGCAGGGGAACTAGAGTGAGGGGTGAGGGGCTGGAGGGTGATGCCTGGGGAGGGCAGGGGCAGGAAAAGCCAGGCTGGGGTCAGGCAGGCCATAGAATCCACGAGGACTCCAAGAATGAGGAAGATGTCATCTTATTGGGACGTTGCTTAGAGGTTGAATTAGATGAGAACAGAAAAGTGTCCCCTGGATTTGGAATCAGGAAGGTCACGGTGAGCTGTCTCTGGGAAGCAAGGGCCAGAAAGAAGACTGCGGGAGGCAGATGAGATCAAGGCTGATGAGGAAGCAGAGGGGGCTCGTGGAGACCACACTTTAAACCATGCTTCATGACAGAGGAGAACAGAGAAATGGGGCAGTGGAGTGCAGCGGGGAGGGCTCACGTGTGTGTCTGGAATGGAAGATACGATGGAATATTTTTGCATGTGGATGGGAAGCGTCCAACAGAGGGAGCAAGAATGACGGGAGATGGAGGTTGGGACTGAGTAAGCCAGGTCCTCAACCTGCCAGGAGAAGTGGAGAGCTGGACTTTGAAACAAAACGGGTGAATCCTGCTAAAAGTGAAAAGATGACGATGGTGAAGGGGACACAGGCAGGTTTAAAGGCCGAGAGGCAGGAGGCTGAGGGAGTTCACGTCTTAGAACCTACTTTTTCATGAGTGTTGGGCAAAGTCAATGGCTGAGCAGGAGGGAGATATGGAGTTGAGGGCAGAGATTATTCAAAAGAAGTCTTTCAGAACGTGAGGACACGGGCTTCTTGGGGAAGCAAAGTAGGAACATCAAACCATGGTTTGTGGTTATAAACTTGTCAACTCAGTGATTTTTTTTCCTGCAATTTTTTTTTTTTTTTTTTTTTGAGGGGGGGGGCAGTCTCTCGCTCTGACACCCAGGCTGGGGTGCAGTGGTGTAATATCGGCTCACTGTAACCTCCACCACTCAGGTTCAAGCAATTCTCCTGCCTCAGACTCCTGAGTAGCTAGGAATACATGTGTGCACCACCACACCCCACTAATTTTTGTATTTTTAGTAGAGATGGGGTTTCATCATGTTGGCCAGGCTGGTTTTGAACTCTTCACCTCAAGGGATCCACCCGCCTCAGCCTCCCAAAGTGCTTGGATTACAGGCATGAGCCACCATGCCCAGCCTCCTGCAAGGTTTTAAGTGCTCAGTGCAGGCATGAAGAAGGCAGATTGGCGGGCTCAGCTGGAGTGGGGTTTTGGAGGTGAGTACAACTGACAGAGAGGAAGAGAAGGGCAAGGCAGGTGAGAACGCTTGTGTTGGTGAAGCATAGATTCTAGTCTGGCCGGGGAGGGAGGTAAAGCCAGAGAACCTGATGGACAGAAACACACAAAAAAAGGCGGGTCATGGGATTGGGGGTCTCAACAAAAACAGACTGCTGTGGCAGTGGGGGACTTGGAACATGAGAGAGAGGAGGGATAGGAGCGTGGTCCAAAGGTGGGATGCTTGATACTGATGCTGCAGCTTCTGGGCATGAAGAGGTCTGAGGTGTGACCATGAGAGGGGGTGGTGGAGAGAAAAGTCTGGGAGCCCCAGTAAGGGACAACTTCTTTTCCCCAACAAATGGCATGCTGCTCCACCTTCACTCCTTTGCCCAGGCTGGTCTCTTTGACTGGAATGCTCACCTTCCCACTGCCCACCCCACCATCTTACTTAGTCTACCAAAGCCTGTTCATCCTTCTCATCTAAGCTCGCCTCCCCTGCTCACCTCCTCCGGAGGATCTCCCTCGTCTGCCCTCTCCAGTGCGCCCCGCCAGAGCTCTGGTCATCCACTGCTGAGCCGTGCAGTGTGCCTCACCCCTCCCTCCACATCACAATCGCCTGAGGGCAAACCCTGTCCTCCCGACTCATCTGTCCACCTCCTAGCACAGAGTGTTCGCTGATGCTCAGTGAGGGGTGGATGGATACCCAGCTGGCCCTGAGGGTTAGGGAGGGAGGGCCACCAAGCTTTCTTCCCCAGCCACTGTAGACCCCCCTGCCCCAGACCCATCCCAGTACTCACCTCTGTCTCTGTCTTGCAGTACTCCTTGACTCTCTCCACAGCTACAATGTTAGACTCCAAATCTGACATCACTCGTATCATCCAGTTCAGAGCAAGTGTCACCTGGCCAAAGGGACTGGGTTATCAGTACGGTGATCTCCTCTCCCCTCTGCAATGGCTTTGGGAAGAGTTCAGACTCCTGGATCATGTGCCCATCAATGGACTCCTATCCCATGATGACCCAGGCGGGCCTGGGTCAAATCCACAGGCATGCCAGCTGGGGCTGTGATCATGAGCGGCTCCCTCAGGCAGTGACAGTGCACACTTAACCAAGGACCACTTTGCTGCAGTTCCTCAAACTTTAATATGTGTAAGACTTCCCAGAGAATGCTGTTAAAATGCAACGCAGGATTCCATAGTCTGAGGTGGGACTTGGGACCTGAGATTCTTCATTTATTTTTATTTTTATAATTTTTTTTTCAGACAAAATTTTGCTCTTATTGCCCAGGCTAGAGTGCAGTGGCATGAACTTGGCTCACCAAAACCTGTGCCTCCCGGGTTCAAGCAATTCTCCTACCTCAGCCTCCTGAGTAGCTGTAGCTGGGATTACAGGCATGTGCCGCCATGCCCGGCTAATTTTATATTTTTAGTAGAGATTGGGTTTCTCCATGTTGGTCAGGCTGGTCTTGAACTCCTGACCTCAAGTGATCTGCCTGCCTTGGCCTCCCAAAGTGCTGGGATTACAGGTGTGAGCCACTGTGCCCAGCTGAGATTCTTCATTTCTAACAAGCTCCCAGAGGATGCTGATGCAACTGGCCCATGGGCCACAAATGGCGCACCAAGGGGTCTTGATCAAAATGCAGAGTCCTGAGCCCATCCCAGGCCGACTGAATCAAAATGTACATTTTAACAAGTTGATTCATATGCACATTGATGTTTGTGAAAAACTGACCTTTCTGGATTGCTTTTTGTTTGCCAACGTGTTCAAGACTTGAATCACCTAAGGCATTAAAAATGTGATCTGCTTTACAAAAATTCCATTTTCAGTTAGGTGGGTTACTCTTTGGCAGTACAGGCTGGCCTCAGGATGGTCCGCCTGACCTGCAGCCCAGGCTTCGGTTGCCTCGTCTGTGTACTTTCTCTGCAAGCATGTGAGCATGAGGTGTATTCCAGACCGACACTGTCCTGACCTCTGTTACATGAGCCTACAACTTGCCCAGCGACAAGACAAATTCTGTTTGCCCTTTGTGGCTAAGCTCCAAGATACTCCTCTGTGCAGTGGTGTGATCTTGGCTCACTGCAACCTCTGCCTCCCAGGTTCAAGTGATTCTCCTGCCTCAGTCTCCCAGTAGTTGGGACTACAGGCATGCACCACCATGCCCCAATATTTTGTCACTTTTAGTAGAGACAGGGTTTCACCATGTTGGCCAGGCTGGTCTTGAACACCTGACCTCCAGTGATCTGCCTGCCTCAGCCTCCCAGAGTGCTGGGATCACAGGTGTGAGCCACCGCGCCCGGCCCTCCTCTGGGCTTTTAAAAACATGTTGTTTCTTCAGCCACAAAGACCTGCTCAGCCTGCAGCACAATCCCTGCCAATGGGGGTCTCTCCAGCTTGATTGTGAGGTATCAGGTAAGGTTGCCCACTAAGCAGGAGGGAGATGTGGAGTTGAGGGCAGAGATTATTCAAAAGAAATCTTTTGGAATGTGAGGACACGGGCTTCTTGGGGAAGCAAAGTAGGAACATCCAGCCATGGTGTGTGGTTATAAACTTGTCACTCAGTGATTTTTCTCCTGCAAGGTTTTTTGTTTTGTTTTGTTTTTGCTCATAGTCCTTGAGAGCAAGCCCTGTGGCTGGTGCGCATACCGGGCAGCGAGGGGCACTGGGGAGATGCCTAGAACACCTGAGTGGTGTCTGTCCCAGTGGTGGCCCTGCCCTGGGGTCCAGACCCTTCGTACCTGCAAGGAGTAGGACACGGAGAGGCCCACCAGCCCTGGGCTCAGGCTACTCCTCCCAATGACAGCAAAGAGCGCAGCAAAGAGCACCACGCAGTTCCCCACAAACTCCACTCCGATGCTCAGCCACCTGTGCGGGATCAGATGAGGAGGAAATGGGGCAGGGGCAGGGAGGGGGCAGTTTTCTGCTTCAGGGAAAGGAAGGACAAGGACCCCCTAACACCAGAGAGCCTGGTGGGAATTCCTGGAGGAGCAGGGGGCGAGGGAGGCAGCTTCTGACCGGTTGGAGATGATATAGGGGTAGCAGCTTCTCTGGTTGGTGTCCACCTTAGTATCATTGATGACCTCAAAGTCCCGGCTGCGGTTGTAGGCCCGGATGACACTGGCACCAGTCACTGTCTCCGAAAAGTGGGAGTAGATAGGTGAACGGCTGACAGATTCCAGCCGCTTCAGTTGCCGTGATGTGGCTGCATAGAAGCGCTGATGGAGGGAGGAGTTTGGGGTCAGGGCTGTGGAACCCCCAACTCAGTCCTACCTGTCTCTGAACTCATCCATTTTCAGATAGTCCTCCCGGCCAGCCTCACTCCCACCACAAGACATTCCCCACCTCCATGGATGCAAGACCTGGGGCCTTGATGTGTCATTCACTCCTTCCCTCTGATCATCTCTGCTTCAACCCCACAACAACGTGGCTCTGCCTCCAGTTTCCATCCTCTCCTCTGTGGCCTAAGATAGGACTAAACACGATGTATATCTGATGCTCCCCTACCCCAGCACAGAGCACAGCCTAGAGCATGGTCACTATACCCAGGTGTTCAGCATCTATCCACAGGAACCAACTCATTTCAGAACAGGAGTTCAGGGTCTGCAAAAGCCTTTTACAGTTAGCTGTATCTGAAGGTTGTCAACTCATCTGTGTCAAACACATGCATACACATATGTTTAGATAGGTATAAAAAGAAGGAAAGGATAAACTATTGTATTGTATTGACAATAGTTTGGGACACATTATCCTTTCCTTCTTTTTATCAGAAAACAGCCAACAGGAGGGCCAGGCACAGTGGCTCACGCCTGTAATCCCAGCATTTTGGGAGGCCAAGGCAGGCATATCACTTGAGGTCAGGCGTTTGAGACCAGCCTGGCCAACATAGCGAAACCCCATCTCTACTAAAAATACAAAAATTAACTGGGCGTGGTGGCATGTGCCTGTAATCCTAGCTACCTGGGAGGCTGAGACAGGAGAATCGCTTGAACCTGGGAGGCGGAGGTTACAGTGAGCCGAGATTGTACCATTGCACTCCAGCCTGGGCAACAAAGTGAGACTCCATCTCAAAAAAAAAAAAAAAGAGCCAACAGGAAAGGCCCAGTGCCAGCTACAATGTATAAGTATTTCATTTTGTTCTCACACCAACCCCATGAGGAAGATCTATGAGCTACTCTATTTTACAGATGAGGCAAATGAGTTTCAAAGAGGTTAAGTAACTGATGACTGTCCATTACAAAACCCTGCAACGCTGGTGGCCTGAAGCATCCCACCCCTGCTGGCCCCGCCCATGTGAACACCCCGCCCCACACCAGCACTACGCCCACACTGGGGCCATGCTCAGCCCTCACCTGCACCAAGGTGTAGAGCACAGCCAGGGGCAGGATGACCACCGTGAAGAGCGGCGTGCTGCCCACGATGACCACAAGAGTGGAGATGGCGTTGAAGAAGGAATTGAGCAGCATGAGGATGGCAGGGGCCAGAACCTCATCAATGATATAGATGTCCTTGGAGAATCGGTTGAGGATGCGGCCTGAGGGTGTGGTGTCGAAGAAGGACTGTGGCGAGCGTATCTTGTTGTGCAGCAGTGCCTGGTGCAACACACGGCCAGCCTGGATGCCACCCACTGCCATGGCCATGGCCGACAGCATCACCAGGAACCCTGTTGGAGGAGGCAGAGGGCACTGGCTCACCTGGACTAGGGAGTGGGCATAAAGGGGCAGAATCACAGACACAGGTTCACCAGAGAGGGTTAGGGAGGCTTGGTTGCAGGGCATGGTTTGGGGGACCTGGCAGCCCAGAGAAGAAGAAGGGATGTTGGAGCCCTTTCTGTGCACCCCCACAGGCTCACCTTGCAGAATTCCTAAGGTGGCATAGACACCCAGCCTTAGGGAAGTGTTGTTCTGTCTACTGTCTGTCATGGCATCATTTGTCCAGGCACTGAGCCACACATCGGCCCCAATGGCAGCTGCACTTTGACCCGCATACAGGAGACAGATGGCCAGTGTGGTACAGAGCCCCACAGCCTTGGCATAATCCCAGAACACACTCAGCTCCACCTGTAGGGAGCAGCCATGGTGGTCAGGGGCAGGGGATTCCATAAGCCCTGGGGCTGCTAGGGGCTATCTGTCTGTCCCCTCCAGCCCCTCTTGCCCCACTGACTCACAGTGCCGGTCTCTGCTTTCTCCTCCTGGGTCAGTGCCCTGTTTGCCTTCACCTCTGTCACCTGCACCTTCTCTGATGGAGCCAGGCGCCTCCGGGGTGCAGGCTGACCCTGTCCCTCCCCATCCGAGGACAGGGCACTCAGCTGTCTGTGGAGGCAGCTAGTCAGGCCCAGGGAGGGGCCTCAGGCACCCCCCCAGGACAAAGGCTGGGAGTGTCAGGGAGGAACCTGCACCCCACCTGGCAGGGCTTGGGGAGCCCTGACCCAGCCTTCCAGAGGGTTGGGAGCACTCAGGAGCTCACCTCATAAACTGCTTCTGGACTGCAAAGGTGACTGGGTCATTGTCTGTCAGATCTGTGTGGTTGCTGAGTGTGTCTTCAACCAGCAGCACCTCCTCATCCTCCGCACCTTCCAGTGCAGCAGTGGCATGGGAGGAAGGAGACAGAGTTCAGCTAGTTCTCCCCGCAGGTATCTCCCATTCCCCAGTCCAATGAAAGGGGCTCCATGGACCAGCGTGAAAATAAAATGAGGGGGATTAAAAGGACAACAAGAAAGCCTTGGGTTAGGCAATAAGGAAAACTTCCCTTCACGAATTACGAAGAAGGACTCAAACACAAGGGTTACGAACTTGGGCTTTGAAGTCAGACTGGCTGACCTTAAATCCCACATCCTTGGCTGGGTGCGGTGGCTCACACCTGTAATCCCAGCACTTTGGGAGGCCAAGGCAGGCAGATCACAAGGTCAGGAGACTGAGACCAGACTGGCCGGCTAGGTGAAACCCCGTCTCTACTAAAAATACAAAAATTAGCTGGGTGTGGTGGCGGGTGCCTGTAGTCCCAGCTATCGGGGAGGCTGAGGCAGGAGAATTGCTTGAACCTGGGAGGCACAAGGCACAGCACTTGGTAAATGCTCAGGCACATTGGCTATCCATATAGCCATAGGCAAGAAAGCCCAGGAAGAGGTCTGTGAGTTGATCCACAATGGGGGGGCTGGGGAGCTGGGCCTGGGCAACAGGGAGCCAGGGGTGTGTTGTGAGCCCAGAGACTTGAACAAGCTCCATGAGGACTGTAATTTTTGGTTTGCTCCCTGCTATATTTTAGTGTCTGGAACAGTGCCTGGATATAGTGATTGTCCAGTAAATTTGGTTGATAAATAAATGGCTATGCCAAGCACTTGCACACTTGCAAAACTATTTATCCGTGAAGCAGCCTTGCCATTCAAGCTGGGCCTGGGCCCTCCTATGCTTTTGACAGATGGAAAACAGGCTCTGAGACCTGGGCTGAGGATGTGAGGTCCCATAGTTAGGGTGGAGGAGGCAGTGGGACTCGATGATGTCCAATTTACTTTCCTGCTGGCGACTGTCACACAGATGGCCCAGGTTCCCCAGAACCTGCCTGGCACAGCACTAGGCCAGTCTAGAGACAGTCAGAGACCCCAGACAGTGGGGATGCTGGGAGGGCATGGGAATCAGAGGGCCAAGGATGGCAGATACCGGTCCAGCTGTCCTCCCGGTGTTCTTGGTCCTCATTGGGGGCATAGTTGCGGAGAAAGTTGGCAAAGGAGCCATTGCATTGCAGCAGGGCTGGGTAGGGGCCCATCTCAGACACCTGTCCATCAGCGAGCACGATGATGAAGTCTGTCTGGGGCAGGAAGCTGATGCCGTGGGTCACCAGCACGCGTGTCTGGGGAGAAGGCGGTAGGCTCTCACCCCACCACCCTCCTACCACACCCCTGGCACAGGCACGGAGCCAGAGTGAGTGTGAGGTGTGCCAGGGAGGTTGGACAGGCATGTAGGTGACTCACCCTGTGCTTGCCACAGCCTGCTCAGAACCTTGGGGGTGGGGGAGTTTTCCTGATGCCCACAGATTTTTCCTGATGCCCAACCCCCACGCCCACTTCTCAGGACCCGCACACCTCCAGGACTCACCCAAACCCCTCAGCCTCCCACCAGCCTTCTCTGTGGGCCTCAGATTCACTTTAGCCCCTTAGCCTCCGGCAGTCCTCACCTTGCCTGCCAGCACACCTTCTGGCCCGATGACGTGGTCAAAGATGTGCTTGGCCACGTGGGAGTCCACCGCAGACAGTGGGTCATCCAGCAAGAAAATATCCGCATTACTGTAAACAGCTCGAGCCAGACTGACCCGCTGCCGCTGGCCCCCAGACAGGTTAATGCCCTGCAGGAGGCAGGGGTGGGAGAAATGGGATTAGACAGGAACGGGGAGACAATGGCCTGTCCACTGTTATTTGGGATGGCAGACTGTTTTTTTTTTTTTTGAGATGGGGTCTCACTCTGTCACCCAGGCTAGAGTGCAGTGGTACGATCTCAGCTCACTGCAACTTCTGCCCCCCGGATTCAAGCAATTCTCGTGCCTCAGCCTCCCGAGTAGCTAGGATTACAGGCATGCGCCACCATGCCTGGCTACTAATTAAAAAAAATTTTTTTTTATAGAGACAGAATCTCTGTATGTTGTCCAGGCTAGTCTCAAACTCCTGAGCTCAAGCAATCAGCTCACCTCAGCCTCCCAAAATAAAGTGCTGGGATTATAGGCGTGAACCACTGTGCCTGGCCAGAACTGCAGACTTCTGAATCTGCATTTCATGTGAGGCCTAGTGTGTCCCTGCAATGCTGTGAGGGACAGAGGAAAGGGTAGGTCCTCCTGGGGCACGCGAGGCCATTCTGTCCCTTTGGTCACCACCCTGCCCAGCTTGGTGTCCTGCCCAACCCATCTATGGATGAATGGTCACACAAATGTGTACATACATATAATGAAATATCATTTGGCCTTACAAGGAGGAAAATTCCGACACATGCTGCAACATGGATATGCCTAGAGGACATTATGCTAAGTGAAATAAGCCAGTCACAAAAAGACAAATGCTGGTTGATTTCACTCACATGAGGTACCTGATAGGGTTGAAATATTTGTTCCTTCCAAAGTCCATGTTGAAACATACTCCCCAGTGGGGCAGGATCGATGGGAGGCCTTTACCATGTGATTGGGTCATGAGGGCAGAGCCCTTATGAATGGCTGATCCACTCATGAATTAATAGGTTGGTGAATGAATGGGTTACTACGGAAGTGGGACTGGTGACTTTATGAGAAAGGAAGACAGAGGCCAGGCACAGTGGCTCATGCCTGTAATCCCAGCACTTTGGAAGGCTGAGGTGGGTGGATCACTTGAGACCAGCCTGGTCAACACTGTGAAACCCCGTCTCCATTAAAAATACAAAAATTAGCCAGTGGTAGTAGTACGCACCTGTAATCCCAGCTATTCGGGAGGCTGAGGCAGAAGAATTGCTTGAACCTGGGATACAGAGGTTGCAGTGAGCCGAGATTGTGTCATTGCTCTCCAGACTGCTTTCTGGGCAACAGAGTGTGAACTTGTTGCAAGAAAAAAAAAAAAGAAAAGAAAAGAACAAAAGAAAGAGAGACCTGAGCTAGCATACTTGGTCCTCTTGTCATGGGAGGCCCTGTATGGCCTTGGGACTCTGTAGATTCCCCATCAATGAGAAGGCCCTCTCCAGATGCAGCCCCTGGACCGTGGACTTCTGAGCCTCCACGACTGTACAAAATACATTTCCTTTCTTTGTAAATAACCTAGTTTCAGGTATTCTCTTATATGCAACAGAAAATGGACTAATATACTAAGTAGTCAAATTCCTAGGAACAGAAAATAGAATGGTGGCTGCCAGGGGCTAGGGGCAGTGGGGAATGAGGAGTTGGTTAACAGGTGCAGTGTCAGTTTTGCAAAATGAAAAGGATCTGGAGATTGGTTGCACAGCAGTGTGAATGTACTTAACACTGCTGATCTGTACACTAAAAAATGATTAAGATTTTTGTTTTTGAGACAGAGTCTTACTCTGTCACCCAGGCTGGAGTGCAGTGATGCAATCAATCTCAGCTCACTGCAACCTCCACCTCCTCGGTTTAAGTAATTCTCTTGCCTCAGCCTCCCAAGTAGCTGGGACTAGAGGCACACACCACCACACCTGGCTAAGTTTTTTGTGTTTCTAGTAAAGACAGGGTTTCACCATATTGGTCAAGCTGGTCTTGAACTCCTGACCTCAAATGATCCACCTGCCCCAGCCTCCCAAAGTGCTGGAATTACGAGTGTGAGCCACCAAGCCCAGCAAGATGATATATTTTATATTATGTGTATTTTACCACAGTTAAAAATAATTAATTAAGAAGCAAAGCCCCAAACTTTTCCCAATGTTCCACATCTTTTAGAGTAAAGGCTAAAATCTTAATCAAGGTAATCAGGGTTCCCCATCACTCTATCTTTCCCTCTGTTTCCCAACTTCGAGTCATGCCAGAGAACCCCAAGGTCCCACACAGGGCTCTATAGCCCCAGACAGAGCCTCCTGCTCCAGACAAGCCTCACTCCATCTCTTTGCTGAGTTCTCTGTTTTTCAGAGAGCATTTCCCAAGCTACCTTAACAATTCAACCCTGCAGGCATTCCTGTATTCCTTCCCCGCTTAAGTTTTTCCACTGAGCATTTATCTAATATATCACGTACAGTACTTATTTATCTTGCCTATTACCTCTTCCTGCCACTAGAATGTGTCCTATATGAAGGTAGAGATTTTAGCCTGGTGTATTCACTACTGTATACTATTTCCTGGAATATAGTGGTGCTTAATATATGGTAAACAAATGAATAGATAAATGAGGAGCTCCTCCTTAGTTGTTAAAATTCAGCTCAAAAGTGGTGTTCAAGGCTGGGCACAGTGCTCATGCCTGTAATCCCAGCACTTTGAGAGGCTGAGGCGGGTGGATCACTTGAAGCCAGGAGTTCAAGACCAGATGGGTCAACATGGCAAGATCCTGTCTCTACTAAAAATACCAAAATTAGCTGAGTGTGGTGGTACACACCTGTAATTCCAGCTACTCTGGTGGCTGAGGCACGAGAATTGCTTGAACCCAGGAGGTGGAGATTGCAGTGAGCCATGATTGTGCCACTGCACTCCAGCCTTGGTGACAAAGCAAGACAAAAAAAAAACAAAACTGATGCTCAGCCAGGTGTAGTGGCTCATGCCTTTAATCCCAGTATTCTGGGAGGCTAAGGTGGGAGGATCTCCTGAGCCCAGGAGTTCAAGGCCAGCCTGGGCCACATGGTGAGATGCTGTAGCTAAAACATATTTAAAATTTAGCTGGGCATGGTGGCATGTGCCTGTGGTCCCAGCTACTCAGGAGGCTGAGGTGAAGGATCATTTGAGCCCAGGAATTCCAGGCTACAGTGAGCTGTGATCTCACCACAGCACTCTACCCTGGGCAACAGATGAGACCTTGTCTCAGAAAGAAAATAAGTGATGCTCTTCCTTCTCTTCCTTATGTGGGCTCCCTGCTGTGGCCGGCCTGCACCCTGCACAGGCCTTCAGCCTGACCCCTAGAATATTCAACAGCCCCTAGTTCTTCGCTAAACAGATTTGTGTGAGGCCGGGCATGCTGGCTTATGCCTGTAATTCCAGCACTTTGGGAGGTTGAGGTAGGTGGATCACCCGAAGTCAGGAGTTCGAGAGCAGCCTGGCAAACCAACATGGCGAAACTCCATCTCTACTAAAATACAAAAATATTTGCGAGGCCTGGTGGTGCATGCCTGTAATTCCATCTACTCAGGAGGCTGAGGTGGGAGACTTGCTTGAACCTGGGAGGAGGAGGTTGCAGTGAGCTGAGATCATGCCACCGCACTCCAGCCTGGGTAACAGAGCAAGAGTCCATCTCAACAACAAAAACAAAAATAAAAATAAAAAATAAACAGTTCTGCTAATAGAGCTGTTTCCCCAGTGCTTGGCACAGAGTTAGGCATAATGTTACACCAATGTGTGAATGGATGGATGAATATACGGACCTGGGCGAGGCTGAGGGGGCAGCTCTATGTGCTAGCTCCTCAGGGATGGGAGAGGAATCTGTACCTTCTCTCCAATCTCTGTCTGGTCCCCACCAGGCAGCATCTTCAGGTCATCTAGCAAGGCACAGGCCTCCAGAGCTTGCTGGTAGCGCTTGGGGTTCAGGGCTTGGCCAAACAGCACGTTTTCCTGAAGAGTGCAGTTCCGGATCCATGCCTGCTGGGGCACATAGGCCACGGAACCCTGGCCACAGGAGAAGCTTACCTCAGGGCTTTGCCCCAGGCCTGGCTGAGTCCCACACCCTGCCCAGGAGCCCCTATCTCTCTCACCTTCACGTGCACTTCACCTTCTAGCTTCTCCATCTCTCCCAGCAGGGCGGACACCAGCGAGGACTTCCCACACCCCACAGCCCCCACCACGGCCACCAGTGCCCCTTTTGGGACCTGGATGTCTAGGCTGGGGGGCAAGGAGCCCAGTTAGAGGCAGGGATCAGGATTTTGGTCTCCAACCCTCCACCGGCGAGCCAAGCCCTCCTCCCTTCCAGACACCACCCCGGCAAACTGAAGCTCTTCCTGCATTCTTGGTCAAAGGGCTTTGCAGGGTGGGTGCTGCTATTGATCTGAACTTCTGGGTCACTGTGGGCAGCTGGGAAGGGAGTGCGAGAAGCTGGTACCTGTGCAGGCTGGGGGGAAGGCCCTGGGCCCAGGTGAAGGTGCCACTGTGTATGGTGATGGCATAGCCTGAGAGGACCAAGGTGGGCAGGGTCAGGGAGGCTGGGGGCAGGGAAAGGAGAATAGGGAAGGAGCCTGGCCCATGGGGAGGGGATCCTTGGGAGAAGAGAGGAAGAGAGAGGTGTGGGGAGCCTTGTGGGGGAGGGTGGAGTTGAGCAGAGAACCCAGAAGAGGGAGAAGGAGGTCACAGAGTCAAAGCCGACATGAAAAGAGGAAGAAGAAAAGGGGTCAGGAGAGAACAATGGAAAAGCTTGGAACAGAGGGTTTTCTGGAGCAAGGACTGGGGCAGGCAGCCCAGGTAAGGGCTCTCCACACCTGGGGAGATGGTCTTTCTTTCCACACACTGGGTGTCAAGTTCATCTTGGCTCAGGAAGTGCTGGATTCGTTTCAGAGACACGCTGGCCTGCAGGAGGATGTGAGTCAGCCCTAGAGACTGCAATTCCCCACCCCCAACCCCTGCCCTCAGCCTGTCCCCAGCATCCTGAGCTAGGCAGGACCCCCTGAGGGCCCAGACACTAGCACTGGGGCCCCTCCCATGACTGAGCCTTCCATGGCTCCCACTGCCAAAGAGAAAGTCCAAGCTGGCAAGAGGAGATGATCTTCAGAACTCAGGTTTCTAGAGACCCGACCTCACCCCTACTGTGACTCCAGATGGCCCTTGACCTTAATGACCTCATTCAACCTTGAATACCTCTTCATAATACCAGCGGCCCTCCCCCGACTCCAGTAACTTCCCAATTATCCCTTGTCCCCAGTGACCCTTCCCTGACGACCCCAACAACCTGCTCCACCTCCAACAGAGCCCCCAGCCCTACCCAGGGTTACCTGAGTCAGGTTGCTGATTAACTGGGGCAGCATGTTGAGGGGAATTCTTAAGATATTAAACAAGGACACGGACACGAAGGCCTTCTCGGCGTCCAGCACATTGTTTGGGTCCACATACACGTACACCCAGAGGGTGATCAGGGTCACCTGAGCAGCATAGCGGTGGTGTCAGGGTGGAGTCCACTGAGCTCCGGCCATGCCTGGGCACCCAGAACCCCAGAGGCAGGGACCCAGCCCTGATGCTGAGCCTCACCAGGAATGGGCTGCAGATCCAGATGAAGGTGGATATGGCATGGAGGTAGGCTGCCTTGCGCAGCAGCTGGAGCTCATGCTGTCTGATGCCCTCCACCTGCTGCAGGAAGCTGGGCTCCCAGGCGTACAGCTTCAGCACCTTGATGCCATTCAGGATCTCACTCATCAGCTTGATGCGTGAGTCCTTCAATTTCATTTGCTCCACCTGTGTGGGCAGAAAAAGCTGCAGTGGCACACCTGCTCCCCTCCCTGACCTCCTACCCACAGGGTCCTATCTTCTGTCCATTCTCATCCATCGCAGCCATTCCACGCCACCCACCACTCCTTCTCACACCTCTTTGCCAGGCCTGTGCTGTGCCTCAGCCTGGAATGCACAGCCCTACTTCCCCGTGTCCCCTGCCTGCCGAGATCCAGCCCCACCCTTAGTGCCATTGTCACTGGCCTTCCGAGCAGCATCCTGGGAAGATCCTCTGTCCCCTGCCCTGGGTTTCTTCTCCTATGTCTTCTTCTTCTTCTTGCTATTATTATTTTTTTAGCGACGGGGTCTCACTGTGTTGCCCAGGCTGGACTGCAGTGGTACAGTCATAGCTCACTACAGCCTCAAACTCCTGGGCTCACTTGATCCTCCTGTCTCAGCCTCCCGAGTAGCTGGAACTACGGGCATGAACCACCTTGTCTAGCTATTTTTTAATTTTTTTTGTAGATACAAGGTCTCACTATGTTGCCCAGGCTGGTTTCAAACTCCTGGCCTCAAGTGATCCTCTCACCTTGGCGTCCCCAAGTGCCGGGATTACAGTTGGGAGCCACCACACCTGGCCCTTCCCTGGGTTTCTAAAGCACATTGCACTTTCCTTTTGTCTTTTTTTTTTTTTTTTTTTTTTAAAGACGGGGTTTCACCACGTTGGTCAGGCTGGTCTTGAACTCCCAACCTCAGGTGATCCGCCCGCCTTGGCCTCCAAAGTGCTTGGATTACAGACGTAAGCCACCATGCCCAGCCACTTTCTTTTGTTCTATAACCATCCCTTTATGTATATGTTTCTCTAATCAGACTGTGAGCTTCCTGAGGGGATGGGTTGTTTATTTCTCTTTGTTCTCTGAGACCTTAACCCAAGGTGTGGCACACCAGATTAATGTATTCATTCAACCCCTATTTATGAAGTGCCTACTACATGCCAGGCCATGGGCTACATGTGGAATTTGTCACAATGAATTCAGACAAGAACCCCGCCATCATACAGTTGACAGTCTGATGGGGGAGGCATAATAAGCAAAAAATGATCTGAATAAATGCTTAATTATTAATCATTATGTGTGCTCTGATGGAAAATCACAGGATCCTGTAAGAAAGTGATGAGATGGTGGCAGGAAAAGTAACTTAGACTGGACAGTCAGGGTGGGCCTCCGGAGAAAGTGACTTTTTTTTTTTTTTTGAGATAAAGTTTCGCTCTTGTTGCCCAGGCTGGAGTGCAATGGCACCACCTCGGCTCACTGCAACCTCCGCCTCCCGGGTTCAAGTGATTCTCCTGTCTCAGCTTTCCGAGTAGCTGGATTACAGGCATATGCCACCACACCAGGTTAATTTTGTATTGTTAGTAGAGATGGGGTTTCTCCATGTTGGTCAGTCTGGTCTTGAACTCCTCAGGTGATCCGCCTACCTTGGCCTTCCAAAGTGCTGGGATTACAGGTATGAGCCACCGTGCCCAGACGAGGAAATGACTTTTATGTTGAGAGGTGAGGGAAGGAAAGGAGTTAGGCAGGTGAGGAGGGGGGAACAGTATATGGGGTGGCCCCCAGAGTTACCCTGAGCTTGGTGCTGTGGAGAAAAGAGAAGGCTAGACTGGCTGAAGCTTGGTCATTCCCCAGTGGGTGGGGACTTGCCAGGCAAGCAGGAGCCTTACCTAGGGGGGTTGTCATTTTTCCTATGGGAAGTGAGAAGCTACTAAAGACTTCAATAGGCCCGGCATGATGGCTCACACCTGTAATCCCAGCACTTTGGGAGGCCAAAGTAGGCTCATTACCTGAGATCAGGAGTTCAAGACCAACCTGGTCAACATGGTGAAACCGTTTCTCTACTAAAAAAAACCATACACACACACACACACACACACACACACACACACCCCTTAGCCAGGCATGGTGGCGTGTGCCTGTAGTCCCAGCTACTAGGGAGGCTGAGGAGGGAGGATTGCTTGAACCCAGGATGCAGAGGTTGCAGTGGGCTGAGAACATGCCAGTGCATTCCAGCCTGGGCTACAGAGTGAGACCCTGTCTCAAAAAAAAAAAAAAGAAAAGATACTTCAATAAATGTTTGCAAATAGTAGACTGAGTGACTAGCTATTCATGTTCAGCACAGTGCAGTGGGAAAAGTCCTCGTTAGTCTTGTTAGAATGGGATACTCAGGTTCGAGTCCCAGCTCTGCCTGATTCTGGACTGCCATCATTTCTCCAAGCCTTGGTTCCTCAGCTACCAAATGAGAATGTCAGGAAAACCCTCTGAGAGTTGCGAGGGCAGAGAGAGCTATGGTTTGTGCAAGTGGCTAGTAGCCACCCATACTTAGGAAGCAAGGTAGTTGTGAGGCCCCAGGGTTAGTGGATCCTGTCCCCCAGGCAGCAGGCCGGGTGCAGCACCTACCTGGAAGGCACGCATCTTCACGGCCACAGCTCCGTTGAGTGGAATCAGCAAGACCATGAGAGCAACTCCAGCCAGGACAGAGGGACCTAGGTTCTGAGGAGGAACCAGTGGATAGATGACACATAGGGACAGATTACCAAAGTCTACAGAGAGAACCCAACAGACAAATAGAGGCCTGTTGGCTTGAAATGTGTAGATGGGCAGGAAGCAAAAGAGGGCAGTTGGCCAAACAGATAGAAAGTCAGAATGACCACAACACTTGGAGAAGCAGCCAGCCCTTAGATACAACGACAGGGACAAAGAGCAGACATGAAGGCAAATACAGATGATGACAGCCAGAGTCACACCCACCTCCCTCCAAGTCTTTCTTTCCTCCCTGGCTTCTGTGGGAAGGATAGCAATAGATGCTGGTAAGATTCAGTTGCAGACACCAGCATCCTCCAAATCCTATTCCTCTATCCCCACCAATGCCCAGGGAAGCTCTTGTGCCAATTCTATATCCCCTCTGCTAGCTCAGAATAACCCTCTTTCTTTTTTTGTTTTGTTTCTTTTTAGAGATGAGGTCTTGCTAGGTTGCCCAGGCTGGAGTGTGGTGGCTATTCACAGGCACAATCATGGCACACTGTAACTAACCAGAACACTTGGGCTCAAGTGATCCTCCTGCCTCAGGTACATGAGTAGCTGGGACTACAAGCATGTGCCATGTACCCAGTTCCAGAATAATCCTCTCTTGTCACTTCTGCAGCAAGGTCAGGGGAAGGGGGCAGAGGCCAGGGTTGGAGAGTCACCTGCCAGAGGAAGTACATTGCCAGGATGATCTGCAGGGGTGCCGACCACAGCAGGTTGAGGAAGGGAACAAGGTCCATGAAGCGCTGGGCATCCACTGACATGAGGTTGACAATTTCCCCCAAGGTGGATGCACGTTTGACTGAATTGGTGATAACCAGAGCCTGCAGGTAGACAGTAGGCAGGTGGACTTGGCTGCCAGCCTCTTGGAAGCTGCCCAGGGCCAGCCTCTCCCCCAGGCCCTGCTTCAGCTGACCTTCCTGTAGATGACACCTATAATCCCGGTACGGAACTTCAGTCCGGTCACAAAGATGCAGTGGTAATATTGCTGTAAGATCAGCGACTGCATCATGGAGCACAGGAACATCAGCCCAGCCACCAGGAAGCCCCACCAGGAGGGGGCCATGGGGTTGGAGATAAACCTGATTAGGACGCTGTGGGGAGGAGAGAAGGGTGAGGTGGGGAGGAGAGAGGGGTGAGGTGGGGAGGGGAGAGGGGTGAGGTGGGGTGGAGAGGATTGAGGTGGGGAGGAGAGAGGGTTGAGGTGGGCAGGAGAGAGGGTTGAGGTGGGCAGGAGAGAGGGGTGAGGTGGGGAGGAGAGAGGGGTGAGGTGGGGAGGAGAGAGGTGTGAGGTGGGGAGGAGAGAGGGGTGAGGTGGGGAGGAGAGAGGGGTGAGGTGGGGAGGAGAGGATTGAGGTGGGGAGGGGAGAGGGGTGAGGTGGGGAGGGGAGAGGGGTGAGGTGGGGAGGGGAGAGAGGTGAGGTGGGGAGGAGAGGGGTGAGGTGGGGAGGAGAGAGGGGTGAGGTGGGGAGGGGAGAGGGGTGAGGTGGGGAGGAGAGGATTGAGGTGGGGAGGAGAGAGGGTTGAGGTGGGCAGGAGAGAGGGTTGAGGTGGGCAGGAGAGAGGGGTGAGGTGGGGAGGAGAGAGGGGTGAGGTGGGGAGGAGAGAGGGGTGAGGTGGGGAGGAGAGGATTGAGGTGGGGAGGGGAGAGAGGTGAGGTGGGGAGGAGAGGGGTGAGGTGGGGAGGAGAGAGGGTGAGGTGGGGAGGAGAGAGGGGTGAGGTGGGGAGGAGAGAGCGGTGAGGTGGGGAGGAGAGGATTGAGGTGGGGAGGAGAGAGGGGTGAGGTGGGGAGTGCTCCCCCCTACAGCTGCTCCCTCCTCTACTGCCCTCTGCTTTTACCTGCAGCCTCCACTGCACCCCCGGCCTCTGAAACTTCCATCTCCTCCACCCTTTGGGCCAGGGAGGGTCAGCCCAGTGCTGCCTCAAGACCGAGACCTTCTGGCTCCACTCTGCCTTCACCTCCTTCCCTATCCACCATGGACCCTGTTGCATGCCCCAGTTATCATGGTCTCCCTGCCGGCCTCACCTGCCTGCCTTCTTACCTCCTGAACCATATGGTAGGAAGAAATGCCACGTTTCCATTGATTGGACTTCCCTGCTCCTTCTCTTAGGCTGCTGGGGACTCTGGATTCTGCCACATGACCACAGACTCTCACCGCTAAATCTACCTTTCCAACCTCAGCAGCCCCAACACTGCCCAGCGACTTTCTCTGGGTCCCTAATCGGCCTCTGCTCTTGGGGCCTTCCTCACCTCTCTTCTCTTGCCTTCAGGCCTGTCCCAGCCTCCACCCCTCTCAGCAGCTACCTGCCTTCTCGCTTAGCCACCCATTGAGAACTCCCAGATCGAGACCATCCTGGTCAACATGGTGAAACCCCGTCTCTACTAAAAACAAAAAAATTAGCTGGGCATGGTGGCACGTGCCTGTAATCCCAGCTACTCAGGAGGCTGAGGCAGAAGAATTGCCTGAACCCAGGAGGCAGAGGTTGCGGTGAGCCGAGATCGCGCCATTGCACTCCAGCCTGGGTAACAAGAGCGAAACTCCATCTCAAAAAAAAGAAAAAAGAGAACTTCCTGCCACCCACACACTGCCCTCTTTCTTCCGGTGCTCAGGCTGTGGGAGGCTGCCCCTGCCCCTGCCCCTGCCCCCGAGCCCCGGCCTTCCTCTGTCTCTTCAGGAGCTTGCCGGGCTGTTGCCCCCTGTGCCGCTGAGCTTTGCCCTGGCCACCTCTACTGGAAGCTCTGCACCTTCCCCTACTGACACGACCGGGTCTCTTCATTGTTGGGACACGCTCCTGTCCACCCCATTGAGCCCTCCAGCCATAATCATGCCAGGCCTCCCCTTCTGTGATAGCTTGAGTTGTGCCTCCCAAAAAGAAACATCCGGCTCAACCCCTGGTACCTGTGAACATGGCCTCATTTGGTGAGGTCATATTGGAGTAGCGTGGGCCCCAGTGGCCCCAGCCCAGTGACTGGTGTCTCTCTCTCTCTCTGTTTTTTTTTTTTTTTGGAGACAGGATCTCTCTCTGCCACCTAGGCGGCAGTGCTGTGGCACCATCATGGCTCACTGGAGCCTCAACCTCTTGGGCTCAAGCAGTCTTCCCACCTCAGCCTCTTGAGCAGCTGGGACTCTAGACATATGCCACCATGCCTGGCTCATATTTTAACTTTTTAGGGTCTTACTATGTTGCTCAGGCTGGTCTCAAACTCTTGGGCTCAAGAGTTTGATCTCTAGCTAGATGGGAATCTCCCCTTGGAGGGCTCACCAGCACTACTGGCCCAACGTGCCCAGACGCCACCCACCACCTTGCCCCATGCCCAGCCTCCTCCTCCCACTGAGCCCATCGTCTCAGCAAAAGATCCGTCATTCTCCAGTCACCCAGGCCCGGACCCAGGTTGCCTGGCACTCCTTTGTCTCCCTGGCGCACACACCCATCCCCCAAATAGCTCCTGAATGCTTATCTCATTCCTGGCCTGGACTCCATCTGACCGGGTTGGCCCACTTCCATCCAGCCACCCTGCCCTACATCCCCCACACTCCTGGCAGGAGATCCTTGAAGCCAGATGCCCCTCCCTGGCTCAGATCTTTCAAGGATATCCTTAGCTCTCCCTCTCTCTGTTTTCCTGCCCCTCCCTCTCATTGCCATTTCCTCTGCCACTCAGAAACACCTGAGTCATGCTGTTTCAGTGCTTTGTGACTAAGCCGGCTGAACTTTCCCCTCATTCTTCCCTACTTGTCCCTCCAAATCTGTTGGCCTCCTGAGCCAGTGAGTGCTCCCTGCTCCATCTCAGGCTGGCTGCTTTGCCCCTCCCAGGGTTTTCTAGACACCTGAGAACACTTCTGCCCCCGCTGAATTCTAACTGACGTACACGTTTTTTTCTCCCGTAAGACCTCAAGACCATCCTATTGACCTCTGTATTCCTAGTGTCTAGCATCATTCTGGTACCCTGGAGGTTCAATAAGTGTTTGCTGAACAGATTAATGCATACACGGAGGGGCAAGGAGGTGGGGGCTCAGCTACAAGGCAGCTCTCCTTCCCACTCTCTCATCTGAGAGCTCCTTTTAGTCCAAGCCACTCCAGAGACAGGCGTCAGAGCCTGACGTGGGGGACAGAGCACCACAGTCGGAGCTCAGAGCCCTGGCCTCAGACCCGATGCCTTCTTCGCTAGCTGGGTGCCTGCCCTTGGCCAAGTCACTTCACCTCTCTGAGTTCCTGCTTTCTCATTCGTGACACAGGAATGGGGCAATTCTGCATAGGATTGTTGGAAAGGTTTAAAGACCCAGTGCTTGTTAATGTATCCACCACGGTGCCTGGCACGTGGTTTGTGTACAGCAGTGATAAGTTGAACGTGAATTGGGAAACAAGTCAGGCAAGGCCACTTGCCAAGGGCACACAGGAAGTGGAGCTAGCCCCTCTGGCTCCTTGTCTGGGGTTCTTTCCATTGTACATTCTTCCTTTCTCTGGTCCCAGCCCTCTGGGACAGCCAGCCAGCCCCGCTGCCCCGGGTAAGGCTGTAGCGAGCTGGAGTGTGGAGAGACCTGAGCAGCTGCGGGTTGATGAAGGAGAGCAGGTCCTGGATCAGCTTGAAGCAGGTGCTGATGAGCAAGCTGGAGCCGAAGGTGGTCAGCAGCGCCTGCAGGAAGGAGGGTTGTCGGGGCCTAGGCTGGGCCCCCAGCAGCACCTCGTCCTCGCTGGAGGCTTTTTCCCCTGGCGCCGCTGCAGCCTTGTGTCTGGTCCAGGGAGGAAGAAACGGTGGGTTAGGAATGGGCATAAGGGCCACAGGAAGCCAAGAGCTAGGCTGGGCTGGCTAGGAGTGAGGCGGAGGCAGGAGCTGTTTTCTTGGCTCTCAGAGCTGGGATGGAGACAGACGGCATGAGAAATGCACAAGTGACTCTGTCCTTAGCTGCCAGAGGGCATCGGAAGGGGTGGCCAGACGGCTACTACGAGGACTTTAAAACCCAGCTACCCCCCACCACCCTTGTGTTTGGCCCTTTCCCTGCCTCTCCAGGGCTGGCCCCAGGGAGGATGCCAAGAGGGAAGAGGAGATAAGATCAAGGATGGCTGGTGGTCTGGCCACTGGGCAGCTGAACAGGAAGGGCGTGGAAGTGGCAGGGAGGGACAGAGAGGGGGGTGCAGCAGGCAAACTGGGGGCCCATAGGTCTTCCTGGAAGCTTCAAGCCATGAAAGCCAGGATACTGCTAAGCATGCCCAAGCCTAGGTTCCTCCAACAGCTGCTGACAACTGGTCACTCTCGGCTGAGCAAGCGCTGAACTGGATTGTGGATGGGAGGGGGAGCGCTCAATCCTGGGGGCAGAGTTGGGTGGGGAAGGGTGATGCTGAGCCCAGCTCTCTTGGTGAGACAGTTGGCCAGAGACAGTTTGCCGGTCCTTGATGGGAGGCTGCCAGTGGGAAGACCTCTCAGGGGAAGATTGTCGCATTCAGCCCCTGCCTCCAGACAGGAAGAGACAGGCTTGGCAGAGGTGTGCTGGCTCCAGGCCCTGGCATCTGCCCTTGCAGGTAGGCAGGGTAGTGCACTGATAAGAGCAGGCCCTCTGGGGCCAGCCAACTGTATGTGGACTCCAGCTCTGCCACCACCAACCTGGGGACCGTGGGAGGTCCTCTATTAAAATCCTGTGCTTCGGCATCCCCATCTGTTTCTGCTGTTGTTAAGGTCTCACTCTGTTGCCCAGACTGGAATACAGTGGCACAATCTCAGCTCACTGCAGCCTTGACCTCTTCTCAAAAATCCTCCCACCTCAGCCTCTCAAATAGCTGGAACTACAGGTGCATGCCACCACACCGGCTCATTTGGTTTATATTTTTGTAGAGACAAGGTCTCACTATATTGACCAGGCTGGTCTTGAACTCCTGGACTCAAGCAATCTCCCTGCCTTGATGTCCCAAAGTGCTGGGATTATAGATATGAGCCACCACACCCGGCCCCAGTGTCCCCATCTGTAACACAGGGACACTAGAACCTACCCTGTAGGGCTGTTGAAAAATTAGGTGAGGTCATCTACATGCTTAGGATGGGACCTGGGATGGAGTAGGTGCTCCAAAGTGCCAGCAATTATCCTGTCCCCACCAGAGCAGGAGAACTAGCCCCATCCAGGCCTAAGATTCCCATAGAATGGTGCTGAGGCTGCCAAGAAGTCACCTGTTCCTGCTCTGCTGCCCAGCAATGCCACCCTCCCAGGCCTACCAGCGCCATCTGCAGGAGACCTGGGGTAAGCGAAGGGGCTAGGTGGTGGGCTGTGGGCAGCAGGAGGGCCTCACCGTGCCGTCTGCTTCTGCTGCTTCCTCCATGCCTCCAGCAGCTGCTGCACCACCATCTGGGATCTGTCCTCCTCCTTCAGGGACCAGAGGTCCTTCTCCTCCAGGGGATGCCAGTAGCCATGGATGGCCATCCTGGGGGGAGGTGAAGGCAGGCAGGCAGCCCCACAGAGGGTCAGAGTTTAGCAGCCTGGAGCCAAGGGCCAGTGTCTCCAGGACCCCAGGTCTCCAGAAAGGAGGGTCTCCTTTGGGCCCTGTGACCAAGAAAGGTGTCTCCTTCATTCCCTCAGTGAACAGGTTGGAGGTCACTGCCTCTCCTTCCCAAGTTCCTACCTCTACCCCCTTCTCCTTCTCCCTGGGTGCCCCATCTCTTCCCCACCCCAGGCCCTAGTGATGGAATCCATGCTGGCTGGGGCCCTGGGTGAGGACAAGGCCTGGGGAATTCGGCCTCAGCCTTGGGTGCTTCCTCAGTGCTGTGAGGTTAATGAGTTGTCACCCAGATCACAGACACAATTATCCTGCTCAAGCCGCTCTGAGGGGCAGCCAAGGAAATGATGGGATGCAAGTTTATCCCAAACAGAAGAGCTTCGAACTAATGACAGTCTCCTTCCAGATGCTGGGGTCTGTCCCCACAGCCTGTCAGATGCAGGGCTGGCCTGTAGCCTGGGGGCAGTGCTGGGCCAGTCCAGGCCTCTGCATTCAGCCCCACTCCCAGACTACTTCCCCACCCTCTCTGCCCCTGCCCTGTGGCCACTGGGGTGGGGGTTGGGTAGGCAGCCAGCCAGATCCCTAACTGCTGGCCTGCTCCGCTTCCTCCATCTCACCTTCTGTCCCTCCCCTCCCTCTGGCCCGGGCTGGTAGAAGAGCCAACTCACTTTGTGAACCACCAGAAAAACAGGCGGGAGAGAAAGCCAGCGCTGGTCTCGGGGTAAGGGTTCTAGAAGGTGAGAGAATAGGATGGGGGAATCCTAATAGATGAGGGGATCAGAAGTGCCCACCACCCTCTCAAAGCAGAATAGGGAAATGGAGGCGACCCTTGTTCCTTCCTGCTCCAAGCCCCAGTTTACAGATTGTGGAGATGACCCCTCTCCCCCTTGGAAAGGAACTGGAGGGGTTGGGGGCTGCTGATTAGAGTTGGGCTTAGGACTGCACTGTGGAAGCCCCACACTCTCCATGGCAAACTCACAGGGTCGACATTCTTTGCAGAGAAAAACGGAGGTTTCTCCCTGAAGCAGGCCAAGATGAGGGCAGAGAGTACCAGGGCAAAGTAGATGTAGAAGGTGGTAAAGCGGAAGGGATCTGAGATCTCGCCCTAGGTGGGAGAGTGGAGGGGAGTCAGAAGCTCTGGAAAAGCCTGGGTCTGCAGCCCCTGCCCTGCGGAGTCCCTTGGGGCATCAGGCTCCTCTGGGGCAGGAGGCAGCACCCAGGGGCCTCTAGTCTCCTCTCAAAGGACTCTAAGAGATGGGGAAGAATCTCAAGGGGGCTGTGGTTCAGCGAGGACCAGGTGTGGGGCCAGCACCTTATGTACATGACCTTGTCTAACTGGGACATCAGCCTATAGGCAGGACAGCTCATGATGCCCTTTCTGCAATTAAGGAAATGAGGCTCCAATGGCTTCAGCGACCTGCCCAAGCCCACATGGGGAGCAAGTGGGTGGTTCAGGGCTTATGTTCTTAGCTCCTCTCCTTGCCTGCTTTCCGCTGAGATGGAGAAATGGGAGGCGCTAGATGGGCCCCCCGTGTTCCATCCCACCAGCCCAACACCATAGCCGCTGAAGATCAAGAGGAAGGCCAGGAACTGAGGGAGGTGGGGAGAAAGGAAGAGAACATGCTGATGGGTCCTCTAGGTAAGCCGGAGTTCTTCACGTGTGTCTGCATACATGCGCATTCCATGGCCCCGACTGACACCCGCGTCAGACATTGCACTTGGTGGTGGGTGCCATGGAGCAACCCCTCCCCTCACATGACAGTCCAACAGTGGTGGCATCTCTGCTCATTCCTGTGTGATGCTGGGGCCCCCTCCTCAGCCTGCTTCCAGGTAGAAATGCGGCAAGTGGAGAACAACAGATTGAATAGCAAAGAGGTCCTGGGAGTATGGATGGGGGTGGAGTCGGCCTCGGAGAGGCACCTGGGACCCAGCAGTGACTTTGAACGCTGAGATCACCCTCCTATTCAAGGCTAAACTTGGCAGATTCCTCTCTCCCCGCACCTTACCTCTGCCTTGGCTGAAAGGATCTTGGAGCGGAAGGGAATGATGGCACAGACCACACACAGGAACCAGAAGATAATGAGGACCCCTGATGACTGGACTCCCTGTAGCCGCTCATATTGGATCAGCAGGGTGGCCAGCAGCTGTGCAGGGAGGGTGGGCGGAGAAGGCCCAGGCAGAGCACACACATCTAGACCTGCCTCCTTTCTCCCCATCCCACATGACCAGAAGTTTCTGGAGCCACCCCCTTCTTCTTCCCATTCCTAACCTGTGCAGCCCTCTCCCCAGAGCCCTCCGTTTCCTTATCACAGTCCACAACCCACTGGAGACCCCCCCACCTACTTTCCCAGGGACCACACTGACCATGGTGATGCCCACCACCAGCGGGGTGACAAAGAAAACAGGGGCAGGGGCCCGGCCATGGACCAGGCCATGGAAGGAATAGAAGAGGTCCGCCCAGGAGACGCACCACAGCAGGACACCCAGGACCTGGAAGAGAGCACAGGTCAGAGTCTCCATCCCCAGAGGCAAGGACAGTCCTCATTGGGAGGGGAAGCCAGCAGAATCTACTAGGCCTGCCTGGGCCTGGCACTGAGGTCTGGGAATGGAGCTGGCCAGAAGCTTGTTGGGGATGGGGATAGTGTTGCTGAACTTGCTTAAACTTTCCCAAGCGGGGAATATGCCAGCTGCTGTATACATTCCCAGCTCTCAGACTGCCATGGCCCCAAGCTGCAGGGGAGGTGAGACTGGGGAACCTAGTCTAGCTGAGGAGGTGGGAGAGGGCCTCACTGAAAGCAGAATCTTAGCCAGGCACGGTGGTGGCTCATGCCTGTAATTCCAGCACTTTGGGAGGCTGAAGCAGGCAGATAACCTGAAGTCAGGAGTTCGCGACCAGCTTGGCTAACATGGTGAAACCCCGTCTCTACCAAAAATGCAAAAATTAGCTGGGCATGGTTGCGCATGTCTGTAATCCCAGCTGCTCAGGAGGCTGAGGCAGGAGAATCACTTGAACCCAGAAGGTAGAGGTTGCAGTGAGCCAAGATTGTGCCACTGCATTCCAACCTGGGCGACAGAGAGAGACTCTGTCTCAAAATAAATACAATAAAAGCAGCATCCCCAGGACCCAGCCCCACTGGTAGGAGAGCCCTGAGCCACTGACCGTCTTGAGCCTGGACAGGTGGGAGAGGATGATGTAGCCACGACTGTGATGCCGCAGGTAGAGCAGGTAGCAGGGCAGGGCGACCCATAGGTAGATGCAGGGCACCCAGGCCAGCAGGGAGTTCTGGAAGCAGGGAGTGAGGTCCGGGTTGTCTGTGTGCACAGACAGGTTGGAGTCCTGGGGACAGAGAGAACAGTTCAGTGCCGTGGCAGCCCCGCAGAGAACTGGGCTCTCTCGAGGAAGATGGCTTAGCTAGAGAGATGTTCCATCAGAGACGGGTAGAGTAGAAGACAGGTGAGGAGAAGAGAGACCAGATACACGAATGAGCAGTCATGGTCCCAAGTGTGTGTTCTCCAAGGATGCCATAGCGGCCCCCGCTTCCTTATATTTTCTCTTTCTCTTCAATTGAGGCATAATTTAAGAGCAACAACAAAAACTGCACCCATTTAAAGTGTACAATTCAGTGAGTTTTGATAGTTGTCTACATCTGCAAAACTGCTGGCCATGTTACCTTATGGTCGTTTGCAGTCCATCCCTCCCAGGCTCATTTTCTATCATTCTGGATTCTCACTCTTTTTTAAAACGAAGTTTTAATTTTATCAAAGCGATATATGCACATAGCTTAAAAGACCACTTTCTCTCAAGGCCGTTCCTGGGCCAGAGATAAGGAGTTTCCCTGAGGCTTCGTTGCCTCTCCTTTGAAATGGAGGTGACCATCCACTGACCCACCTGTACCTCACTGGGTAGATGTGAGACTCATAGGAACTAAGAGAAATGGAGAGTTTTTGCAAAAACATAGACCAGAGTGACCAACTCTCCCATACGGGTGGGACTTCTCTGGTTTTAGCACTGAAAGTCCAGTGTCTTGGGAAACTGCTTGGTCTTGGGCAAATCAGTATGATTGGTTTCTTTACTGGTCCTGACAAGACTGCCTCTTACCTCTGACTGTAACTAACCTAGGAGTCTTTTTGGAAGGGGATGGAGGAATACATTCATTAATAAACACATGTTTTACTGAGATTGTTTCCTCCAAGGCCACCAATGTACTAATCTATTTCTTACCTTTTTTGCAAAGCATTAGATGTTTTTTAGAGCTGCTCAGAAAATATCAACAAGAAAAACCACCCACAATCCTATCCACCTAGAGACATCTGTTACCTTAGGATATAACTGCCTATTTTTCAATTGCCAATTTAAATATCATTTTTATTTTTATCAAAGTTATACATGCACATAAACCTTTGAATTTTCTTTTTCTATTTCTCTGTTGATTTGGTATGGTTTTGTCTTTCAAGTTGGAGGTATTAAGTTCAATTTGGCCTAAAGCTGCCTCCTTACATAGTGAACTGAAACCCAACTTAATATGTGAAGAAACCTAACTTGAGAGTTCCTTGTAACAAGTAGCTGAGTCTCAGCCAATCGCTGCAACTGAGCTTTCAGCCAGTCGCAGACTGCAAACTGCACAGACCTGTCCAGATAAGGCAAATGCCAAGTTGTAAATCAGGCTATTTCTATATGTCACCTTTTTTTCTGTGTGTAAATACTACTTGACCACATAGTTAGGTGGAGTTCTTTAAGCCTTTACTGGCTTAAGATGCTGCCCGATTCGTGAATTGCTTCTTTTTTCAAATAAACTCTGCTACATTAAATTTGTCTAAAGCTTTTCTTTTAACAGATTGGTGTCAGAAGTGGGATCTGAAGTAGAAATCCAGTGACCCTGAGGACCACTGAGTGACCAAGTAAAGGTACCTGACAGGGTACACTGTGCCAGTTGTTCTCTTGCAGCAGCTGGAGGTCAGGCATCAGTTCCATCTCAGATTCCAAGCTTCAGGAATTTGTGTTTTGAGTTCTCCAAGTTCGTTTGAACAATTCTTAGACAGGACTGGGTCCAAGAGCAAATCAGATCTGATAATTAACTGGAGTGGATCCAGTTAGAAGCCTCAGGCAGGTGCCTTTTGAAAGCAAGTTCCTCCAAATCTAAGGAGTCTGGGACTCCACCTTCTGGGACAGTGGCTAACTTCATGAACAAAAATTATGAGGACCATGTGTATTTTTGGAAAAATGGGTTAACTTTGCTGAGGATAACTTAAGAGTTACAGTGGCCACAGTGGGAAAGTTTTGACCTAGATAAAATTGTTCACTTGCAAGGTGCTAGAAAAGAAAGGTTCGAAAATGCCACAAAAGCAATGGGTTGCGTTCTGTAATTGGTACACAGAGCCATCTAAAAGATTAAATGAATAAAATTGCTTTTTTATAAGGTTCCTTACAGAAATCAAACAAAAAAGAACTTAAAAGTCCCTTCACAAATCTCATTCAAAATCTTTAGCCATCTAGGTAAGAAATCTTGCTCCACTGGACAGAAGAACAATTTGGATCCAAATATTCTTTAATATATTCAGGAGTTTTACATTATTGTACCTGGCACATGGCTAAAATATTGAAATGAAAGCTATAAGATCTGTTGCTGTTTACGTTTATATATGTATAATATAGGTATGACAGTTTCTATCTCCTTTTAATGTTTAAAAATGAAATTATAAAAGAGCTCTATTTTGCTGGTTTTAAGAAAAATAAGTGTTTATATAAATGAAGTATTCTCTCAGAAAATTAAGAACTACCTCGAATACTTTTGTAGCTTACCTGACTTGGGTAATCTTTGGCAAACAAGAATATTGTTGGTTTGATTAAGACAGACATGTTTTCATAGTTTTTGGGATTAAATATCATACAGATGCATGACTTCCTACTGGGAAAATAAGCTTAGGTTGTCTTTATATTATAAAATTTGTCAGCAAGAAAAACAAAATGATGACTAGTTGTTTATTTTCTCATCTTTATAGACAATCCAAGTATAAGTGTTGAAAATAAGTGAGTTACAAGGTCAGGAGTTCAAGACCAGCCTGGCCAATATAGTGAAACCCCGTTTCCACTGAAAATACAAAAATTAGCCAGGCATGGTGGTGGGTGCCTGTAGTCCCAGCTACTTGGGAGGCTGAGGCAGGAGAATTGCTTGAACCCTGGAGGCGGAGGTTCCAAGATTGCACCACCCACTGTGCTCTAACCTGGGCGACAGAGTGAGACTCTGTGTCAAAAAAAAAAAAAAAAGAAAAGAAGTGAGTTAATCGAATGTAAGTAAGATAAAAAATTCCCTTGTAAAAGATGTCCTTCCTATACCAGAAGGTTTTATTTTATCATTTTTTTTTTTGAAACAGGATCTCACTCTATCACTTACCCTAGAGTGCAGTGGCAAGATCTCGGCTCACTGCAAGTTCTGCCTCCTGGGCTCAAGCAATCCTCCTGCCTCAGCTCCCACAAGTATCTGGGACTACAGACACGAGCCACCACATTCAGCTAATTTTTGTATTTTTGGTAGAGATGGGGTTTCACCATGTTGCCCAAGCTGGTCTTGAACTCCTGAAGTCAAGTGATCCACCCGCCTTGGCCTCCCAAAGTGCTTGGATTACAGGCATGAGCCGCCATGCTTAGCCACCAGAAGGTTTTTACACTCTTATTATCAAGAATAGAAAGTTGAGGAGGAAGGAAACCTGTACAAACAACAATTTAGTTTTCAGGCCTCGCAAAACAAACAAAAAACCTAAAAGGATATAAATGAAATGTTGCCTCCTTTACAGTTTGCTGCTACAGAGAGACTAAAGACATTCTGGACCATTGATAAACATGCTCTGCGCCACACTGACAAATTGTACTACGAGAAAGCTCATGCTTTAGAAATTACAGTTCATAGATTTACCAGTCTACAGATTGCTGGTGTGACACACAATTCACAAATGCTTACTTTTTTTTTTTTTTTTTTTTTAATGAGACAGTGTCTCGCTTTATTGCCAGGCTGGAGTGCAGTGGTGCAATCTCAGCTCACTGCAACCTCCACCTCTCGGGTTCAGGTGATTCTCCTGCCTCAGCCTCCCAAGTAGCTAAGATTCCAGGTGCATGAACCACACCCAGCTAATTTTTATATTTTTAGCAGAGATGGGGTTTCACTGTGTTGGCCAGGATGGTCTTGATCACTTGACCTCGTGATCTGCCCTCCCTGGCCTCCCAAAGTGCTGGGATTACAGGCATGAGCCTGTAATCTGGCCTACAAATGCTTACTTTCTAATGTTCATGGAAATTAAGGTCACTAAGGGTTAAGAATTTGTTTTTTGAGATGGAGTCTTGCTCTGTTGCCCAAGCTGGAGTGCAGTGGTGTAATCTCAGCTTACTGCAACCTTCATCTCCCAGGTTCAAGTGATTCTCCTGCCTCAGCCTCCCAAGTAGCTGGGATTACAGGTGCCCACAACCATGCCTGGCTAATTTTTGTATTTTTAGTAGAGATGGGGTTTTGCCATGTTGGCCAGGCTGGTCTTGAACTCCTGACCTTAGGTGATCCACCCACCTTGTCCTCCCAAAGTGTTGGAATTACAGGTGTGAGCCACCACACCCAGGCTGCGTTGACTCTTAAGGCTTGGCTGTCTCAGCATTTTGGAGTGAGACACTAGAGAGTTTGCTGCTCTGTATGTTGGAGGCAGGTGGATTTGGGACTGGATCTGTGACTCCTCAGGACAATCTGCAAACAGTGATGAGGGAGAGCACCAAGGACTAAGAACCAAGACATAGAGTGTGACTGAAGGCAGAGTACTAAGGACCACGCTTATTGGCTACTGGGCTTCCCTGTAGAGTGATCAAGTAGGAGCCTGGTCCTTTCGGAAAGAAAGACTCACCCAACAACTAGAAGAATCTGGAAGTCTTCTCTCTGGGACCAATTAGGAATGAGGGCTGAGGGTTCTATCCTTCAATATGCAGACTTTTATTTAATTCCACAGAAGAAACTGCTGGTCTTCTGTGAAGTGGCTGGGATTTGCCTGGCTTTGGGAGGTATGGCTAAGTGACTTGGGTGTTTTGCCTCCCCTTCCACATTCTCTGCTGCCTTCAGCCCTGCTCTTCCCCTCTGGTCCCCGAGCTTTTTCAGACTCCATGTGGCCTTTAGTTTCAGCTGTTCTCCTCTGCTGTGTTAGTGATCATTCCTCGACCTGTTTTTCACTTTCCAAAAAGGTGTTAATAACTTGTCTGCTGTTGTCTTCTCGTCTCTATGTCCTTATATGTTTACATTTCTTATTCCTTACTGTCATTTTGGTGGAAAATGAGGAGGGACTGGAGATAAAGTGTTGTGTTCAATCCACCCTGTAGAACCAGAGCTCCCTCCAACTACAATTTTTATTAAGAGATGGGGTCTCACTATATTGCCCAGGCTGGAGTACAGTGGCTATTCACAGGTGCGATCCCACTACTGATCAGCACGGGAGTTTTGACCTGCTCTGTTTCTGACTTTGGTCCATTCACTCCTCCTTAGGCAACCTGGTGGTCCCCCGCTCCCGGGAGGTCACCATATTGATGCCAAACTTAGTGCGGACACCCAATTGGCATAGCGCACTATAGCCCAGAACTCCTGGGCTCAAGCGATCCTCCCACCTCAGCTTCCCAAGAAGCTGGGACTACAGGCACTTGCCACCACACCTGGCTTTTTTTTTTTTTTTTTTTTTTGAGGCAGAGTCTTCCTCTGTCTTTCAGGCTGGAGTGCAGTGACGTGATCTCAGCTCACTGCAATCTCCACCTCCCGGGTTCAGGTGATTCTCCTGTCTCAGCCTCTCAAGTAGCTGGGATCACAGATGCCCACCACCACGCCTGGCTAATTTTTGTATATCTAGTAGAGATGGGGTTTCACCCTGTTTGCCAGGCTGGTTTTCGAACTCCTGACCTCAGGTGATCCACCCACCTCGGCCTCCCGAAGTGTTTGGATTACAGGGATGAGACATTGCGCCCGGCCTCCAAAGGTGAATTAAACAGACCTATTTCAGACTTCATGCAGGAACCCCTGCAACAGTATGGGCTTCCCCCATGTCTTGGAAACAACTCTTTCCCAGTCTCCTGGTTTCTTGGCAAGCGATCCTTGCTGTCTCCTTATCTCCCTTCTAGTTCACCCTGCAGACATGGGCCCTAGCCCCCTAGTTCTGACCTTCCCTTGGTGCCCTCTCTCATCATTGTTCACAGATTGTCCTGAGGAGTCTCAAATCCAGATCAACAGCTCAACTCACCTCCTGAGCCTCAGCCCCTATTTCCTGCTGCCTCTCAGATGGTGTCCCCATCTGTCCACAGCCACCTCATATTCAACACCTCGAACTAAGCTCCTTCACTCCCTGCCAGGACCAGCCCTTCCTTTGACCTTGCCTGCCTCTGCCAAGGGTATCACCATTCTCCCAGCTACCCTGACACCAGTGAGACACAGGCCCTGCTGATTACTGATGGACGCAATGTAGCTGGACAAAGAGGTGTTTGAGACTTGGTAGGGAGACTTTAAAAGACTTAGGCAAGGTCACACAGCTTAAAAGAAGTCACACTTGAGCTGTGCGATCTTGGCCAAGGAGCTTAACCTCTTCCCTCTCTGGACCTTCGTTTCTTTAAGGGTAACATTGGGATGATAATATCTCTCACCTGGTTCCTCCCACCTGGCCCCTTGGACCCTTACCTTTTCATGAGCAATTGCTATGGACTTCTGGTCTCTTCCCTTCTGATTCCCTGGGGGCCTAGATCCCTCTCGGTCTTCCCTTCCTTTCTGGTCACGCCATTGCGGTCTCTTTGCTGATTCCCCTGCCTGGTGTGAGAGGGCCCCAGAGCTCAGTCCTTTCTTCTTCTTAGTGCCTCCTTATCTGCACTCACCCTCTTGGCAATGTCACCCAGTCTGTACCATCTATATGCCAATGACTTCCAAGTCTATCTCTCCAGCTCATTGCTCCCCAAATCTCCAACTCTATATCTAACTGCTGACTTGATATCTTCACTCCATGCACCCTGCAGTCACCTGCAAGGACCTGCACGATGTCCCTTCTCCCAACCTGTGACCCTCTCACTGCGCTCTCTGCTTCACTGCCACCACTGGCCTCCTTGCTGTTTCTGAACACACTTGCCTTTGCTCTTGCTTTTTTCTCTTCCTGGGCACTCCTCCCCCAGACATCCTGAGTCTTTCTTTCTCAACAAGGCCTACCCTGACCATCCTGTCTAACACTGCCTCTGTGTCCCAGCCCCGTACTCCCAATCCCCCCACCTTGCTTTGCATTTTCTTTTCTCTATAACACCTATCACCTTCTGACATGACATATAATTTACTAATTTATCATATTTTCTCTCATCTTTTCCTTTACTTGCTGACATGTAAGCTCTTTGAAGGGAAGAATCTTTATTTTATTTATCAGTGTATCCTAACTACTTAGAATGGTGCCTAGCACATAGTAGGTGCTCAGAAAAAGATTGGCTTAAATAAACTAAATGTTTATTGAAGACCAGGGACATTGCCCAG